CTCTAATGAGCCACTCCCCTCTAATAAGCCTCCCTCTATTAAGCCACTCCCCTCTAATAAGCCCCCTCTAATAAGCCACTCCCCTCTAATAAGCCACTCCCCTCTAATAAGCCCCCCTCTATTAAGCCACTCCACTTTAATAAGCCCCTCTATAATAAGCCCCCTCTAATAAGCCCCTCTCTAATAAGCCCCCTCTATTAAGCCACTCTCCTCTAATAAGCCCCCCTCTATTAAGCCACTCCCCTCTGATAAGCCCCCCTCTAATAAGCCACTCCCCTCTAATAAGCCTCCTCTTTAGAGGAAGAAATTTATTAAGCCCCCCTCTTTTAAGCCCTCCACCCCACCCCTTCCCCCTTTAAAAAACAAAAATTCAAAATAACACTCCATGTCAGTAAGTATGATAAATTTATTCAAGTACTGTAATTTTAGTTTGCCATTTAAAATTGATTTTGGTGATAGATTGATTGATGTTATCATGTTGGCATCAATAGAATACAGTGTACAGAAATTACAGAGCAATGCAAAAAATATGCCCTGGCTAAGCAAGGTCCATTGAGAGAGTAAGATCATAACATTGAGTTTGAATTTGGTAAATGAAAAAATGTAAAATGAGAACAATTTTTTTTAATAAATATGGTACATCATGTCCTATTGTATCCTGGTAGTGAACATCAGGCTAAATTTATAAGCCCCCCCTCTATTAAGTTCCCCCCCCCCTAATTAGCCACCCCCAAAGAACCTGAAATAAATAAGTCCCTTTGGGGGCTTAGAGGATTTATGGTAGTTATGAGGATTGGTGTAAGATCAATTTAAAAAAGACCTCAAAGCCCTACAGGTAATTGCACGTCTTCATGGACAAATTTACCTCCATTTGGAAACTATTTCTTTTTTACTAGCTTCATCCAATGCCTTGATCTACTTTCTTTCGCCAGGGCTTTCTATCTGCTAGACAGTTAAATCCTAATACATCCATTAAAATTATTGGCGAGGAACTAGAGCCGTCCGAGTTTAAACAATATTTTTCTTCATGGGAACTTGTTGTGCCTTTTGGAAATACACAGACCTTCCATGCTGGTAAAGGAGTTGTGTCTAGAGGTATGTACAAGGCCAATTACTAACTGAAAGTAGCGGAGTTTTCCTGAACCATCCCTTAGTTCTCTACAGAATTCATTATCTTCTGCTGAGGTAGCCTGTTGCTCAAGTAGGAGTAGAAGTAGACATCTATATTTATACAGGATAGCCCCTTCAGTGTAGTAAACACTGGTATCAACGGGGGTCCTGTTACCTGCCCATCCCACCCTAGGAGAGGACATCTATCACACAGTAATCTCGTGCGTGGGAAATTAACGTCTCCTGCCCCTAACCCTGCAGGAGACGGGACCTCCATTTATTCGTACCTATCCGAGAAGACTAGAATATCTAATCATTTCTTGATGTTATAGAAAGGTAGCATATTCTTCTAAATTATTTTAAGACCCTGAGTGTTGGTCCGGCCGGGGTTCGAACCTTCGACCTCCCGCACAATAGTCCAGCGCTCTATCCATCTACTCAGAGGGATTTTCTAGCTAAATGATAAGGAAAAGGTTACAGTTTGTTTATCACGGCACAATAGGGGAATCCTTGTTTACAATATTTGCCTCATTAGCATAAGCAATTCAGTTTCTGATGGAGCTAAAAATAAATCAGTTCTGAATATCGAAAGGTCAAAGTACGATTTACTCGGCCAATGAATACGAGCCTGATGCATTGAATACTTTTTGTGCAACACGGGTTTAAAAACTCAAAATTTTACATAGAATGTATGAGCTCATTAGCGCTTTTGCCACCCAGAAACTTTGCAGTTTTTGATGGACTATTTCTCCTTGAATATTACACCCAAAGAGCTAAAATTTTCACCATGTACTAAGGTGTTCTAGCTCTTTAGCTGCCTGAAGTCAATTTGTATCTAACATGCTTCCTTCTTTACGCAAAGCCGTATGCAAATGAGCAAAACTGTAAACAATGACGTCAGCATGAATCCGCCTATTCCACTTCATTATCTTCTAAGAAAACTTGCGGTATGAAAGTAGTCAAAACATTGGGATCCACATTAGCGGTGACTCCACTACGAGACAAACACTAAAATTTCGTTACTTGTGTTTTTAAAAAATATCTTTTTCCGAATCACTTTTACAGAACAACTTGACCAGAGACCAAAGTTTGAAGTGAGATCCATGCACGAGAGAAGGGCATCTGTGACTAGCACTCTTCCTGATGATGGTACAGGTACAGTACAAGTTTGGCGAGTTTACGGCTTTGCACTTGAAGAAGTACCCTCAAAATCTTATGGTGTGTTCTACTCTGGAGATTGTTATGTTATTCTGTACACTTACATGAAGAACAATCGGGAAAAGCACATCATCTACTTTTGGCTGGTGAGTATAATACCATTGTCTATTATTTTACGCAAAGCAGTGCTCGCGCGCGGGATTTATGCACGCAGCGAAATTCACCAGCCTAGCAAAAGTCACGTGCGCATCAAAATCATCCACGGAGTAAAAGTCACGTGCACAATTATAGTTACGCGCGCAGCAAAAGTCAGGCGCGCGATAAAAGTCACGCGCGCGGCAAAAGTTAAGTCACGTGCGCAGCAAATGTCACTTGCGCAGGGTGGAGCGCCAACTAAGGCATTTTCCTACAACTCTCTCGCTCGCGGTTGGCGCTTATTGTCGTCTATCTACGCAATTTATTGACAAATATGATGAAGAAATATGTCCCCCTTTTCAGAACAGGTCCTTGGTATATCTTCAGCTTGAACCCTACTTTACTTTTTCAATAACATTGAAGTTATAACGGTGCCACATCTTGATATCAGCAATGATACTAAACATCATCTGAAAATTTGGTTTCCACCAAAGCTGTTGGTGGATAGGGCTCGTGGAACAAATTTATTAAAAACGCTTTGTTATAATTCCACAAGGGAAATGACAGTACAGCTGATGAACAAGGAGCTGCTGCAGCCGGTGCTATAACCCTTGATGACAAGTTCGCAGGGGAACCTTACCAGGTTAGTACCCAAAACGTTTTGTCGTTGTTATAGATTTTCTCGCTCTCTTCTGTGCTATGTGTACTATCATTTCAGTATAGATCAATTTTGAAGGGAAAAATTTGATAGAGTTCTTCCTCTCTAGCTTATTTATAAAGCATTAGAGCGCGAATTCTGAAGATTTGGGGATTGATTCCTCCTAGGGGACAGTTTATTTTCTTTTTCTTAATCACAAAACTATCCATATCTTTCTCTAATATCATACGAACTCGGAGTGACATATTCAACAGACGAAGTGCGCGTCATCTTTGTGAGCGTGCAAGTCTTTGTAGAGTGTGTTATGTCTGGAATTCTTGTGTGCTACTGACTGTATCCTTAAAATTTTCATGGTTGTTAGTCTTAATAACTATTCTTGTATACTTTTTTTTTCAGGTCCGGGTGTGTGAAGGAAAGGAACCAATACATTTCTTTATGATTTTCAACCACCGACTCATTATCTACCAAGTGAGTATTCGGTTATAAAAAAAATTCTGTCAAGGAGCGTTAACGATGTTGTTCATTAGGTCAAGAAGAAGTTGGTTTTGGTCTCCTCGTTCTTAAACGTTTCAGTCCTAGTTGTGATCAATAGGAATTCCTCCACAACACAATTATCAATTGACTGTCGAAGGTAATCCGGGATTGCTTTGTTTGTTTGTTTGTTTGTTTGTTTGTGTTTTTTTACTTCACTCTGCGATTGGTCCATAAAACTCGCACCACTTTCCCAACCAATCAAATGCAAAACGAAAACCTCATCACGTATCGGTCGTCCGCGTTTTCCCGCGCTTTTATGCAGCTTGCCTACTTTTGGGTCATCCTCGGTGTAAAAACCTGACGAGGTTTTCTTTGTTTCATGAGGTATTGTTTTGCTGTACGCTATTGTTTATAATGTTTTGTTGTCTTTGTTTTACGTCACTCGTGAGCTTCACAGGTTTTTACACCGAGGATGAGCCCTGTGTTTACTAAGTTTTGAGTTCTCATTGGCTCATAAAGATATTTTCGTTTCTTCTAATTGGCCATAGTGATTATTTTGATAATTTTCTTTCTTCTCAACACATTTCCGTGTTGAAATTCACCGATAATGTAAGGAGAAATTCCTTTTTGGTCTCTTGTGGGAGTGAAAGGGCTACCACAAAATTCTCAACGCTAAAGTTTAAAGAAGTGTATGGTAGGTGGTGCAGAGAATTAATGTTTAGATCTTGGGAGTGAAACGTTCAAGACTTCTTCAAATGAATATTGTTTACCTTTAGGGTGGCCACGCTAGTGGTTTCAAAAACACTGAAAGCGCCGGTAATGCCACAGATACTCGCCTTCTTCAGGTTCGCGTCACTGGAAACAATTCTAGGGTTGTCGAGGTAAGCCATGTTGGGGTCAGCTTCTACAGGCGATCTCTTACAGGACTAACAGAGCGGTTAGACGTCAGGCGCGCCAATTTCCCGCGTAGATTTTGCAGGCAAAATTAGCAAGGAAAAAATAATAAACAAATCGTTATAACGCAAAGAAATTTAAGCGTTCTTATATGTCTCTAAAAGGAAACAAGAATTGGGACAAGTCTCTTTTTATATATGCCTCTAAAAGGAAACAAGAATTGGGACAAGTCTCTTTTTATACATGTCTCTAAAAGGAAATAAGAATTGGGACAAGTCTCTTTTTATATTATTTTTATTAATTTTTTTAAGCCACGAAACTGCTCACTCAGTGAACAAACAAGGTAATGTTAAAGCGAGAAGGAGCAAAGATGTCTTTATTATATTACATTAGAAAAGGACCAAGATGACCAAGGGTTGAGAGAATGAAAACGGATTACAATGAAGATTTCTGCTCTTTATTCAGGTTCTTCCGGTGGCTCAGTCTCTGAACAGCAGTGATGTGTTCGTACTTCACAACCCCCATCACTGCTTCATCTGGGTGGGCAAAGGCAGTATTGGTGACGAACGAGAGTGTGCCAGAGAGGTGGTCAGGCTCATCTGGAAATCAGATGACGCCGATCTTGTTATGGAAGGCAAAGACCGTGACAACTTCTGGAACCTGCTGGGAGGAAAAGCTGATTATGGCTCGGCCAAACAAAGCTGGGTAAGTATCCAGGCAATGTTTTCCTTTAGTCTCCCGCACAGAGAGCGAAAGGTGAATCTTTTTATCCCTAGGAGTGACTAGAATCTAATTTCTCCTTACAATATCACCCTTGAATCAAACATTAAGGTCAGGAGAATAAAGCAAATGATCAGCAACTTATAAAGCTCTTGATTGTCAGAGAAACTCTCGTGTTAATGTATAGAAGAACTTGCCCACTGATTTCAGGGTGTAAAGGGGTAAACTAGGAATGCAGAAAGGGTTTTTCAAAGATACAAGAGAGAAGAACCACGTCAAACGCATCAGAATTGACTTTTTTAACTTTAAGAGTGACTGGCATCTAATATCTCCTTACAATATCAGCCCAAATCAAAGATTAAGGTCAGGAGAATAAAGGAAATGATCACTAACTGAAGGAGCTCTCGATTGTTACTCAAATTCTCCTTGTCGGCACCTTGGGAAATGTATAAGGAAAATTAAGGAGAATATGCGTTCTGGAGGTTAGGGTGTGAGTGATTAGGTGCAGGTGTAATTTGAAGTCTTTTTATTACTAATGCGATTGCCATCTCATTAAATTCCATAAGTTTCAGCCCCATAAATCGCAAGAATTAGTGATTTGTGGTGTTGAGACTTTTAAAAATCACCGAATCATCGTGTAACAAAGATATCATTGGTCTCCATCGCAACCATTCTTTAGAGTGTCACGCAAAACCGCCAAAACAAGCCTTGCATAACATCCCAAAGAACAGCTGCGAATGAGGTTACGATCTTATGCAGTGAGACACATGACGGGGAATCGTATCTGTATCTAATCATTATGTCTGAAATACTTTCAGGCCGAGCAAGAGAGTAGCGGTTACCCCGCCAGACTGTTTCACTGTTCAAACGCCACGGGGAGGTTCTTGGTCGAGGAAATTCTTGATTTCGGCCAGGAAGATTTAGAGGAAGATGATGTCATGATTCTTGATGCCTGGACGCAGCTGTTTATATGGGTTGGAGCCACTGCACGCAAAGAAGAAAAACAAGACGCCATCAGGACTGCTCTGGTAATGTGCTTCGCTTGGCCGAGTTTCTTTGTATTGAAATCCACTTCCATCCTAAATATTTTAAGTTATGTTCAACTTTTAATACTTCCAGCCTTATTCTCTCTCCCTTTTTGGGGGGTTTTATCCAAAAACAAACGAGTAGAGCGCTTTGTTATGATGTCGGAGAACGGTCAATCCATAACGAAAGTTCTTGGTAATGATTTCAGGAATACGTTAAGACAGATCCTCGCCAACGTGTTCCAAACATGACGATGTCAGTGATTAAACAAGGGGCTGAGCCGGTGGGATTCAAGTCGTACTTCGTGGCCTGGGAACCACAGATGTGGAACAAGAAAATGAGTTACGAGGAACAGATGAAACGAGTCAAACAAGAAAATGAGAAAGTAGATGATAACGCGTGGAGTCTGGTAAGCACTGACAAAACAATTTTTTTGTAATGTAACTCCCCTCTTGTAAAGATTGCGTGACCATTAATTAATGACAAAGGTGGCGAGGATCGTCACGCAAGCTTTGTAAAAATATTGTGTGACTACCTGATGTGTCGGTTGTCACGCACACTTTTTAGAGTAGAAGTGCGTTACCAACTGTTAAATAGGTCGTTACGCAAGGGTCCTGGTAAATAGCTGTATCGCCTGGGCGTAGCAGCAGACTCTCAAGCCGAAGGAAACAACAGCATTCTCAATTAGAAAGTTAAACCTCCAGGTTTTTCTGCATTTTGTTAGTATGGTGTTGATATCCACTTCCTTTTCAGACCGAGTGGGACGAGAAACTCAAGCCGAAATTTTTCCCTTTGGAAGTTCTGCAAAAGAAAGGAGAAGACCTCCCTGAAGAAGTAGATCCTACTAAGAAAGAGGTTTGTTCAACTTCCAAATTCTCCTCACAAAATTCTGGAAAATCGATCAAATGACGCCTGTTGTGCAGGCTCAAATGGTTTGGGGAATTTGAATGTTGGTCAGGGAAGGTCATCATGGATGACAAAGGAAGAAGAAGTAATGTTATTAAGCAATGTCTCCTTGTCAATTTAGTCTGAGTAGAACCAAGAATGGTTTTGAAAATATAGATGATGTAGACTCGTATAGAACTGCGTGCATTGGAATGAGTGGGAAACCTTTTAATAACTTCAATGTGGCTCCTTTGATATTTCTTGGAATTTGTTCGTTCAAATCCCAACTCTCCCCTCTTACCTCTTCACAGGTCATTAAAAGTTCGCTCCGACGAAGGGCTAACGCTCGAAACGTCAGCTTTTGTAATCGTTACGGTGGCCAATTTACCACTTCAACTTTGTTGATATATCCAAGTTATTTCATTAAAAGTTAGTCAAGAGAATTGGCTTCCTGCTAAGATATCGCTGATTCGTTTTGCTCTACTCGTGACCTTTTAACTGGATGTTGTACTTAAATTGTAAGGGGAATTTGCATGTAAGTTGAACGGTCAATACTTACTTACTTCTTTTCTTTTATTTTTTTAAAGCTTCATTTAGAAGACGCCAAATTTGAAGAAATTTTCAAAATGTCTAAGAAAGAATGGGAAGGTATTCCACAATGGAGAAAAAATCAAGTCAAGAAGGCCATTGATCTGTTCTAAATGAACAAAAGCTTCTGCTGTTAATTTAACTAAACTTACAATAACATTTGCAATTTGCTATAGAATGGGTGCGTCGTTTCAAAGCTCATGGTTTAAAAAGACTTGTTCACGATAATCTTTGGCGCATTAACTTTTTAGGAATTTAGTATACTTAAGCTCAATCTTAAAAAACAAACAAACAAACAAAAACCAGGTCTAACCAGCAGACTGGTCAAACAGGAAACTGGTTAAATGGGTTTGACTTGATGGCTGCCTACAGATGTGTTAAGTGGCCGGAAAATCTTAAGGTAAACCATACAACTAAAGTCTTTTATAAACTTAGGTAGAATTGTTTCGGGATATTTAAAGCTTTTCCTAGATGTGGAATAAATGCTATAAATAATCAACAAGAACATATTTTTTAGGCATTTTATCTAAATTTACAGACTAACCGAGGTAGTAGCATTTTGCTCTGTATTGAAATTTGAATTTTAATCTTTTGGTATTTACTGTGCACATGCAAGGCCTTAATACTACGTTTAATGAAAAGTTGGTGTGTCTGTGCATAGCAGCATGTGTTGCGTGATGATCCGTGCAGTTCAAGTGGATGACTTTTGTTACATTGTTCACAGTCTCCCCTCTCCTCTCCTACTGAGATCAGGATGAAGAGATAACCTGGGAACGACGTTGTAAGCTTCGGTTGTTTTCGGTATTCGTGTCTTGTTTGTAATCGGTGTGAGTCGGAAAACCTGAGACTGTCGAACTTTTCCGAGTTTTTTTTTTTTTTTTCACAATGTGTATCGCAGACAGAGCCGCAGCACTGTTGAACGACGGTCTAATTCAGTCTTAGCACCAGTGGCTTTTAGTATATTTATAATAATGTATTACTTGATAACGTATTTCACTGCGTAGGGAATCATCCAAATTTTAAAGTACGTAACGTACATAGTCAACTGTAAGTTGCCGACACTAGCTGTGTTTCTCTTGAATAAAATATTCTGCCAAGAAAGCGCGTATTTTACTGCCAGTTGTATTCTTATTAAGGGCTCACGTTTTTAGCCCAGCGGTTTTGTCTTGACTAGCTAGATACATCATAACAAAAAAATTTTCTAGATCAATCATAAACAAAGCTTCAACCAGTGGATAACGTCAACGGTAATTGGTTGATTCGCACAAGTTTTCCAAATTCACCCACAAGGCTTCCCATCATCCCCCGCATAAAAAGTTGATTGGCCTTGCGACTTCTTAATTTCTTCCGTCAAACTCTTGCCTTTTTGGCGCCGGCTTACAGTTTCACCAGAAGCGATCTTGACACAAGTATTTGGATTGTTTTGAACACGGAATATAGGGACAAAATTTCCGTTTAGAAAAATATTCGTCGGGAAATGTGTGTACGTGTCTGGACAGCTATATGACCCATCATGACCATTCACATTTGAGTGACTGAGCCCCTAACTACTTAGACTAGAGCTGCCCCTGCTTTTCGGCGAAATCCGTCGCGCAAGCAAAAAAATTATTGTTATCGCGCCGCGCAGAAATCCGAGGGAGAGGCGCACAAATAGTAGGGACTGCACACTATGCCAGAGAGTTTAACTCTTCCAGTGCATAACTCCTAGAGCTCCACGTGGCGCACCGTCAGTATTTTATTATTATTTTAACTTGCACGAGGGACTTTACCGAAAAGGAGGGACTGACACGAAATCTACTACTTACGTCAAACCTAATTTGTACATCTAAAAATAAACACGAGTCGGGAACAAAGTACTTTTAACATGTTCGTATTTTTTTACACGTGTACGGTCAAAACAAGATTAAAATCGCATAAGTATTCAAAAAAAATTAAATGTGCATTCGCTGTTCATTGTCCAAGTTCTGCAGGAGTTTTTGCGCTTCTTGACAAGGACAAGAATAACCGATTGCTTTTGTTCTCTTTCTCATCAGCGGTGAAAATTTCTGACAAAACGTTATTTTTGTAAAAAGCTGTGAACTTTACTGAATTGTTCTTTGAATCAGGGGTTACTCTTCCACGCGCGTTGTGTTTGCCACTCCTGTTCCCAAGCTAGCCCTTTTGAAATATGTATATGAAAGATCAGTTTGGATAAATAATATAGTGATATTAATCAAGAGGCAAAGAAAAAACCTTTTGAGACAGGGCACAACACAACGATTTTGTTTCTCGCCCGTGACAATAGCTCGTGACAACCGCGTAACACGTTTCTTAAATAGAAGTAATAAATCATTCAGATCTATTTCGTTTGCTACTCAGGGTATAATCCGACGATTTGGTCTTTCTATTTTTTAGTTAAAGCACAGTGTCCACGATCACAAAATCCTTCATTTGGTGGAGTGGCTATGTTTGTTTCCGTGGTGAAGTATTATTCAATGATAAAGCCTTTTTGTAGACTCGATGTTTGGAATGCATACTGTTCAAATTCTAAACCCAGTGCTGAACATTCACGGAATATAAATGTTCGCAGTTGAAAAGTCGCCAACTTTTACTGAAAACCTTGCCAAAATGACTTCATCATAAATAAGACAAACGAAGAGAACCTATTATCACAACACAAAAGCTTTGGCTCCAAAGAGGCCTATTATATTGTAAATGATAATTTCAACCAAAATTAGAAGATTTGCGTAAAAAAATAGGCGCCTCGGCACCATTTATCAGGAAATCTAAAAATAACTGATTTTTGCTGAATGTCCACCAAAGAAACAACTATGAATCTCCAGACAGACACAGGCCTTCAGACAGACATAGTCCCCTGCATATTGTCTCTTAAAAAGGCGGGGTGTTGCTCAAAAACAATTGACACGTTTAATAGTGGGCCTCACACTTTTAACCCCTTATTGTCTTCGGATGGAAACTGAATTTGGAATGTCGTGATATTCCCCTAGCCTGAATTAAGTACGCCACTCTATTATCGACATAAAATTAGCCATTTCGTTAACAATAGAAACAAGAGGGCCGTCTAAAGGTGTTCCTCTTTAGGCAGAACCTCTTACGTGCATCCAAGATTTCTCGTGACGATGTTTTCAGCTATGGCACCTGACCGGTGTTGTAGAAATCAAATCATATCACATGAAAATAACGTTTGCATAGCGACCTTTTCACCCAAACTGTTGCAGCAGGTAGAAAAATATTGGATGTACAGGTTACCTGCTGGGAGGTCATGATATTCCCGTGTCTTACCCACCGCAAGATGATCGATGGTTTCAAAAGACTGAAACATTTTTGTTAGAAAAATATGTTACCTTAAAATCGATCCCTTACTAGGAGAGTACCCAAGGGTATGTTTTGATTTAAGGCAATTAAACAAGTGTAACGCGTTTTATTTTTGTAATTAAATAAGCCATTTTGTTTATTTCCACCCCCTTTTGTTCCACGACATTCTAACAACGAAAATAATTTAATTATACCAGGTACCTGTTCCATTGATTCACAAAGATTTATTTTCTCTTTTTTCTCTGCTAGGCAAAACGTGATTTGGAAGTTTTCCACAAAAGCCAATGTTGAAATTGTTATTACAAAAGTTCTCCAACAGAGGTCACTGAAACCTACGCGTTGTTTAGGTTACTAAGTGGACAATTTTGAAATTCAAAAAGTACCCAAACAACAGCAATAAAAGCGAAAAAAAAGTTTTCTTGTTTGAAATCATTCAGTCTCTCGGGATAACACCTTTCAAGCTTCTTATTTGTTAAGTTGTATTGAAACAAGTGCAAACAGGGGAGTTGTTCTTGCATTTTTGTTAAAATTGGTTTGAATATTCTGCGAAAAACATTATTCAGTAGATACAGGGTCTTCTTGAAAGAAAAGATTTGAGATTGCTCTATTAAGACCAATTCGATTCCTTCTCTTCTTTCAATCAGCGCATAAATAAAATCATAACGATGTGTTTTATCGTGATCGGGCCCACGAAATTTTGCCGGATACAATCGTCCCATTTTCTGCCATTTACAGCCTCAGAAAGGGCTTGTTTTAAGTCTCAAAGTGTTGAACGTTTGCTCAGCCACTAGTTAAAAATAATTATAAACCTTATTTTGCATGTCATAGCCACTAACGGCGTTTTAGAAATTCACGGGTTTAAGGATGACAAGCTGTAGTCAAGATTTTCGATTTTGTCGGCATATATTGAGTATTATGTCAACATTCCTTCAAACGTGTTATTTGAATGAATTTCCACACCTTACATCAAAATGTTGATCTTAACGCTTGCCGTGTTTTTTCCCCTGGGTCAGATGAACTAGTAACTGTACAAAAACAAAATTGGAGGCGGTTTTGTAATTGTCCTCCCTCCAGAGAGAATTGTGGAGTTGTGTTGCAACCGGCGTGAATATTCGGTTTTGTACACCTCTGACATGTGGGTACAAAGTCTATGTTTTTTGACTTATAGTACTCGCCCGTTCCATCTCGCATCCAATTTTCATATTCTATTGATCTCGACAAAGAAAAAGCCAGTTCTCCTAGATGTCCAGGTGTAAATCTAGGATATCGAAATAAAAGGGCACTTATTGAAGTTTTTGCCCAGGTTACAACGTGCTATAAACGGTTTCTTACAAAAATTTTTCTTCGGCCACGATGGTTGTTCAATAAGGGAGCCAGAACTCCATTCGTACTAAAAACAGCATGCGATTCCACCAAGTTAAAACGAAACCCCGAGTATATCAACTTTTAATGACATTTTAGCAATTAAAAGCGAAGTAAGAAATTTCATGGCCAATGTGGCTACAGCTGTTTTTCAACTCCGAATTTTGCGGCGCTTGATGAATTCTGTGAAAATTAATTCATTTTTTCCGTAAAGATCATTTTCTGTTAACCAAAGTTACCTTCATATTGTTGCTGGTTTTTTGCAGATTTTTGTTTCGAGAAATTAAAGTCTTGTTGATTTAAAAGACATCTAATTATCTTTAAAAAGAAAGTGGCTTTCGGCAATAGAGAGATGCAATCAGTGTTGAAATAAAAGTTTACAAAGATAACTCTGTATTTTGAACGTCACAAATGCAAACCACAAAAGCCTTTGTTTATGCCAAGAGTTCTTTATCTAGCTTTAAATAGCCATCTCTTGAAATTAGCTTCCATGCAGAGGGAATTTATTTCACCACTCACTGTTAAAATTACTAAAGATAACCATTTTGTTGAAAAAGAGATTTTTTCTTCCATACAGAAGGGATGAATAAGAAAATTTGCAAGTCAATGCCTTGCCCACTGCCATTTCTTTTATAGCAACAGAATAAATTACGATCAGATCATGCGCGAAGTTTGGGCTTAAGGAAGTTGGAAAAAAAGCCTGGCAGAGTATTTAAACCCCATAAACTGAGGTTCATTCAGGTGTACACTACAGTTTCATTTCAGTTCAACTCAGGTGCTCTGTCGCCATTAACTCATAAAGATCAAATGTTTGCCCCAAACACAAACCAGCTCAGCTTCACTCAGCGACTGGATCAAAACGTGCACACCAGCTTGCTTGTTAGCCGCGAAGCACCGCCGTATTTCCAAGATAACATTATGATGGGAACAAGTACAGGCTGTTTCACAGATGGCAACACATTTAACGGGGACACAAGCAATGACTCTGACTTCGCCAAAGGTATCTATAATTTGCGTCCGAGAGGAGCTCTCACTCATGTTCCGGCACTGCCGAAGTTTGAGCAAGAGGAAACTGGCCCCGCTCCGCCCGTCAAACCGAAGCGACAGCGCAACTCGCTGAAGAAACGTCTTCTTGTGAATGCTCGGGAGCGCGATCGAATGCGTGTTTTAAACAATGGATTTCAAGCGCTTCGGGACGCTCTGCCCTGTTATATCGCCGACGGACATATGGCCAAGATAACTACTCTTCGTCTTGCTATAAATTACATCAAGGCATTGAACGAAGTGTTGAACGAAGAACCACCGCCTGTCTCGAGATGTGCTCCTCACCGCCAGCCGCCAACCTCCACTGTTCCCTGCAACACCAGTATGATTGGAATCGCTGCTGACCCAGGCCATTTTAAAACACCTCTTCCAATTGATGTAAGTACTTTCTCCTCGACGCCCTCCGAAAATCCCCTAATTCAGAGGCGAATTGCTTTTAACTCATTCAACCCGTGTTTAGCTCCGCGTCATTAAAAACATGTTTCCCGTACAGGCTAAAAAACAGGGCCAACGGAATTTCAAACTCTTCTTTCGCTTCGTCGTCATCTTCACCTTTGGAAATCTCCCTATTATTTCATAGCCGTTTTACCAACTTGGCTTACTTGTAAATCAATCAAAGTTTATAAGATCTGCGACATAATTTTTTTGCTGACGAAAGCTTCCACAAAACCGGGCCCCATAATGGCGTGCCTTTAAAACAGAAAGATGAATTCGTTTGCAGAACACTACAGCCGAGAACTGAGTTGAGAACATCGCGAGTTTCCGTTGTCACTTTTTAAAGTCGCACATTGTTCGTTTCTTCCTCTCGTCTCCAAAACCTGACCGGCTTCACGAAATCGAATTTCAAGAATTAAAATTTAATTACTCTCTGTTTTATTAACCTCTAGCCTGACTCAAAGTTTTGTTTATGTTTTGCAAGCAGTCCTACGAATTCAAATGCGGAAATAAACATCGTAAAGTAGAGCAAACTTTATAATCGAATTTTTCAAGAAAAACGTTAAAAAGTTTGACTATTTTACCTTCAGTTACGTTCTTTTCAACTGCGTTTCAAGAAAAGGGAAGTCAGGTTTTGAAAGTCCTGAGATATGAAAAAATTCTTGCAAAAATTGTTCTCAACGGTACAAATCATTGTTTGAGCCCAAAACCATTTTCCACATTTTCAGTTAAAACAAAACACCAGACTTTATTGTTTTATTTTGTGCTTTCGAAATGTTTCGATGAAATAAATGACCTCTTTGAACGATGTGTCTCTTTAGAGATCACAGTTTTAAAAACTTCAATGTGTTTCGAAACCGCATAGGCTTCCATTAAAGTTTGAAAAATGGATCTTAAAATGTGATTTATCAATTTTTCTGCAGGTTCGTCATCCAAACACACGGATTTAAAAGAGGACCACCATTCGCATTTTGCAAACATCGCCGCAAGCGACAAAATAGATATTGATTTTAAACGATGATAATATGATATTCCTTTACTGAGAATGCAAGAAAACATTCGACCAACAAATCGCTATATAAACACCTTTTGTATTTGTAGATAAACAACTCATTTGCGATAAAATGTGCGCCAGAATAAGGCTGTTGTCAAACAAAACGTAAGCTGAACGCTGAATTATTCATTTTTTATGTATATCCTTCGAGCACGCGCCCTTCTAGCTTCGTCCTTCTCACAATTTTTGTAATTAGTCGAAAAATTCTCGCGCTATCTTCCCAACAGACCAACTTTCAACTGCTGTAAACGATTGAAGGATAAGTAAATAAAGTTTGTAAACCACAAGTTGCAAATATGGTAAACTGAGTTGTTTGCAGTAAGTTTCGAATATTTAATTCAAGTTTTCGTGTTAGTCCATAACATCTAGCCCTCGATCTTCCCTAAGTGGTCGCGCACTATTTCTTCAAAATTGTATCCTTCTTTAAGGAATTTTTAATCAAAGAGCCAATTCCTTTTTTAAACTTAACAATATTACCAATATTGTACAGTTTCAGTCGGGATAATTGGCCAAAAACATTTATCGTTTTCAGTGCTTCTGCCTTTTATTTAAAGGAGCGGAAAAATCAGTTTAAGATTAATTTTCTGTGCACAGAAAACAACTGGTACTTAATCGCATCATAAATGAAGTTACAAAAGCTGATAAAAATACTGCATATATTCTTAAATACAAAGCTTTACGCATTCAGAACAATTTTGTAACAATTAGGTTGTTTCTGGCAGATGTAGACATTGTAAAGAAATTCTCCGAGTTGCAACTTTTCTCCTTTTTTTCAACTCTGTTAAAAAAGTTGCCTTTCTCATTTGGAACTAAGGTCAGCTGTAAGAGAAATAATCATGATTGTGAAATCAACGTCGTTTAATTCCTAGATCGAACGTAGAACTGAAAATAGACTATTTTATTATTTTTTTCTTTTCTTATTTTTTAATTTTTTTGCGGTTTTTCTTATTGTCATACTTGAAAATAGCTGCAAACGTTTACGCAAGAAAAGGTAGATCATTTTGTTCTTTAGGAACTCATTTTGCCTTATGTTCTTAGCCTTAAAAGCAACTGTCATTTCCACTGCTCCCGTCTACATTTAAGTGAAGCTTACCACTCGAGAATTTTATCGGGGAAAGCAATTTAAAAAAAAAAACCAACAAGTTGGGCAAACATGGTTTACTCCCGAAAGACATTGTAATTAGGGGGTGCCATTAAAAAGTATTTCGTAAAATCATTAAAGCATTGTTTTTCATCAAAATATCCTGTCCCGGATTTTTTTACTGTATAGCCCAAACCTTGAAAAATTCTCTCTCTGATATATTTTGGGGGCATACTCGTAATTAGCTCGAATCTTATCCGCCGTGTATGATCGAATCTTAATGATTCTAAGCAAACCCCCGCAAGCTGTAACCATCTTGCCGTTTTTGTCTTCTTAATGAAGTCTCTCAAATAGTTATAAGACTAATTTACATGCAGGGGGCATTACTTGTCAAAACACCATTATTTGAATGCATGCGGGGTGTTCTAAATGGCTTGCCAAAGTGAGTTTCCATTTCAAGGAAAACAAATAATCCTTGTTGATTTGAGTGCTGTCGCTCGATCTCAACTGCTGTTAAAATGAAATAATGCTGTATTGTTTTTGAGCCGAAATAGGGGCCCAACATGATATGGTTGTGCCAAGATCACCTGCTGCACTGAAGAAAGGCAAAACCCGATTCAGTTTCAAAGTTTTGTGGAAGCAACACGTGAACGAATTTCTTTTGTAGAAAAGACAATGTCTTTAGAACCCCATTGTAGTCTACTCAGACATTGTTTTAAAGCGGCTCACGTCTATAGAGTTCATGTTACAAAAGGGATAAGGCATCTTTTACTTGCTATCCAATTATTTAAGACAGCTTCTTCATGAAACAAAGTTTTTTGGCCATTTTTTTTTTAAATTTGCTCATAAGTGTACGAATGACTCTCTAATGTTGTTAACTACTGGATATTTCAGAATCACACACCATTTTCTTGTTTATGATATACATTGTTCGAGAAACTTTCGAAATGAAGTTTGTTATCCTTGACTGAAGTGGATATTCAATTCGCAAAGTCTTTCATTAAAAAAAAAATTCTAAGAGCCGACACTAACCAATCCTAAAGGGATTGACCTTATGCCATTTTGAGTCAATTTTTTTGCCACGTTTAAAACTAATTTTTAACTTGAAGGAGGTCGCGAGAGTTATCACTGAGTTCGGAAAGGTAAAAGAAACAGGTCATTGGCAATGAGAAGCGAAGGAGGAAAAGGCTAGCTATAAGGAATGAAGAAGTTTAAATAGATTTAGAAGAAGAGTTGTTAAAAATTTAGGCTAAATTTCCCAAGATATGTACACCGCATCGTGGCTGTTTTTAGGAAAAGAGGAACATAAGCTTTTATAAGAAACTGGCTTCACGTTAATTCTGAAGTAGGACTTGCGCAATGTAAAGCTCAGCGCTTCACCTGTTCAATGCTTCAATAATCAGACTTTGACAAAAGCGCGGCGCAACACGGGGTGTGAATTTCGTCCGCAGTCTCTTGTGTGGTACTGATCGAATTGGCATGATCCGGCCGAAACAAAAATAGCCGACTTAGAATTGTTGTGCCCTCTGAGGCTTATTCTCAATGCTCACTAGATTATCTAGTGGATTTTGTGAAACTTTTTAATTCGTCTGGAAGCATAACAATGTCTTAACATTTTTTATTGTTCAAAGACAAGGATTGCGGTACTGATTCTCGCCCGAGGTGATAAATTTGACAAAGCATTATTTTATGGTAGATAACACAATGGAAAAAAAGCCATATGTATAGATATATAGATATATATATATTTTTTAATCAGTAACACGTCCGTGCCATGGCTTTTGTCGAATTATTTTGTAAATTTTGCGAGTTGAATCCTATCTGATACAATTTCGGATCGCATTGTAGCAATTCAAAAACGACGGCTTGAAAGATTGATAGGAATGCGAATGTGATTCCGCCGTTGCTGAGGTAAAGAAAAAGAAACTACTTGTTTAAGTAAATCAACAACTAGTGAGTGATCATGATATGATCAATCACAAATTATAATGGCCGAAGGCAGTCGTAGCGTGAGAAACAGTTCATCAAAGGCGCTTCAACAAGGACGAAGTGAAAGTCAGAACTTGAGAAGTTCTTTTGATTGAAACAGGCATTAACTCTCTCAGCTTGACTTCAAAATCAAATTCAAACATGTTAAGAATGCTGTGTTCACTTAGTGAATTCTCAGCATGTCTGCATTCGTGTTCTGAAGTCACGAACTTTAAAGTTTATGTTCATTTACATTCGAAAAGGCGCCCAGTTTCGTGCCATTTAATATGATTGTTCTATTTTGAGAGATAAAACAATTGAGCTAAGATGTTTCATTCCAGTAACATAAAAACGTTCTAATCTTCGGCAAAGCAAGCAATTAATTCTACACTTTCGTAATATCAAGTTGCGAACATTTGGAAAAATATTGGATTATCTGTTAGAATGGAATTTTCTATTACATTACACCCGGTTTATCTACAAACCGTTTTTCGAAAATGTTTTCTTAATAAACCCATTCACCTTTTCCTCGGTCACAAAGCTCAATAAGGACTTTAAGCAGTCACGACGGCAACGCCACGGAAGGGGTTGATTAAAAAATGAGTTTCTACTTTTAGTTAGAGTTTCGAAAATAGCTGCATGTGTTTACCGTCTCATAGAGCGCCACACCTCAAACTCAACGTATTGCATAAAAGTAGCGTTGAGTTCCAAATGTAAATTAGAATAATTTGCCGCCGCGGTTTCGCTTCGAAGACGACGCAAATTTTGGTGATTTCACGTTGTTGTTTTGCAAAGGACGGCTACGAAATGTACAAAGTTTTAAAACGCACGTGCTGTGCTATTGTTCTGCCAATTAGATCTTTTGTTTTTCCACGTTCTCGTTGCCGTAGCCGTTGTGGTTTGCTTAAAGTCCCTAATGTGATTATTGAGGGTGGCTGTGCATTGTTTTTCAAGATATAGCGTCGCGACCTTATTTATTCTATCAGTCTGCTAGTTTTCGGTTCTCCACCAAAAAAAAATCCTTTTTTATATATTTGATTATGGAATTAGTCTTCAAAGTTTCTTTTAGTTGTAAAATCTTAGTTTTGAATAATTTTAATTAAATTTTTAGACATAATAATTATTTACAAGACAAGAGCTTATCTATTAAAATAAAAATGCAAGAATGAAGAAAGTAGTTTAGCCCATAGTTTTGGAAAACGACACTGAATTTTTTCCATGAGTCACTTTTTTTGAATCTTGGCATCCGTTATGTTTTGATAGTAATCCTACCGGAAATTGTCCTAGCGGAAGTTCTAAGACCTTGTAAAGGATCATGGAAATTTGTATGGGCCATGCTTTCCGGAAATGGATGGGGCATGTGCTCCGCATGCCACCAGCAGCACTACCACGAGTTGCTCTCAGATGGACCCCTGATGGACGTAGGAAGAGAGGAAGACCGAAAAAAACCCTGGGGGAGGACGGTGGAAAGGGAAATGAAGGACAACAACTGGACTTGGGGGCACCTGGAGCGGCAAGCACCCGCCAGACATCAATGGCGAACTCTGGTCGAGGCCTTATGTGTCTCTTAGTGACTCGAAGGGGATTGATAATAATGTTTTCCGGTTGTCATGGCGGATGAATAAAGACTAATTTGGATATATCAACAAAGTTGAAGTGGTAAATTGGCCACCGTAACGATTACAAAAGCTGACGTTTCGAGCGTTAGCCCTTCGTCGGAGCGAATAGAGGAATTGTGGGTTGTGTGTGCTTTTAAAGGCAGAAAATGGAGCTACGTTATTGGTGGGTGCATGGCAACGAGAACAACTAATTTATTAAATGAATTTATTCATGTTTTTCTCGTTGCCATGCACCCACCAATAACGTAGCTCCATTTTCTGCCTTTAAAAGCACACACAACCCACAATTCCTTTATTCGCTCCGACGAAGGGCTAAAGCTCGAAACGTCAGCTTTTGTAATCATTACGGTGGCCAATTTACCATTTCAACTTTGTTGATATATCCAAATTATTTCGTTACTCCCACCGACGTAGCCCCAAACAGTTTCTTTCGAAACTATCAGCCTGAATAAAGACTAGTTTCGTTTTATTGTTTAATCCACAGGCAGCCCAAGCTCACTACTAGAAAAGCGGACGTGACTCTTACCGTGTTGCGCAACGTTTTATATTTATAAAGGTTTGTATGGGATGTTATCGGTTTGCCTTAAAAGAGAGAAAAAATGTCTTGTTTTGAAATAAAATGGACTTACCTTATTGCCTTGTTGTTTTCTTTGCTGATTCCTAGCGTCTCAGGCCATTTTGAAGCGTTTTCGGCGAGTTAGCGCTATGTTGGTGTTAGCAGTTGAACAGTTCATACCAGAGTTCACACCCATTCCATCTGACGCTGAAATACCACGCGTAAGCGATGCAGGTATGGAGATCACTCTTGGGTTAATTTAAAGAAGACCGCCACTGGCCCAGATCAGATCCCTTTCTGGATGTGGAGGGACCATGAAGAGTGTCAATATAACCCCCATTCCCAAGGTCGAAATACCCAAGGAAAATAGTAACTTTAGAGGAATAAACATAACCCCCGTTGTTACCAGAGCATTCGAAAAGGTTGTTTATAAGTCTTAAGTCAAGAACACTGTCGAGAGCAGTTTAAGCCCTACACAGTTTGCTTATTGAGAAGGTGGCAGCTTTACTGGTTAACAATGCAATATCATATTCTTAGGACTTCAGGATCAAAAGGGATGCGATGCAGTTAGGGTGTTTGCAATGGATTTTAGTAAAGCCTTCGATACCGTCAAACATGATCTTTTATTTTGTAAACTGAAACTCTTACCACTTAATCTGTATATTTTGAATTGGTATTTAAGCTTTCTTACCGATAGGAGACAACGGGTTGTCTGCAGTGGCATTACTTGTGATTGGATCTGCGTGAACAAAGGCACTACACAAGGTAACGTCGGTGGCCCCTATATATTTAATATATTCATGAATGATCAGCAAACAAATCCGGACTCTGACTCCTTGTTGTTCAAGTATGCAGATGACTCCACTCTAATCATTCCAGTTTGGAAGAGTGATAGTGATAGCAATACTGCTGCTCATGTACTTAATAACTTTACAGAATGGTCTATCGATAATTCCATGAAGTGTAATTTCTCTAAATGTAAAGAAATGGTTTTCCGAAAGAAGGGCTACGAAAATGTATTAGACACAGTACAGAATATCTCCCAACATTCACATCTATGTATTTTGGGGGTTACATTTCAAGAAAATTGTAGGTTCTCAATTCACATCAAGAATAAGTTGGCCGCAGCTAATAAATGCCTATATATTCTTAGAACTCTTTGGAGGGAGGGTTATTGTCAGGCAGAGTTGGATAAATTATTTTGCGCTCTGGTTCTGCCTAAACTTACGTACGGAATATCAGTATATGGTTCATCTCCACTCCAGAACTTACTACCATATAATGCTACCTGGATCGTTGTTACAAACGTAGATACACGTCCTCTCCGGTTTCTATCATCAATTGCTCTGATAAGTCTGATATAGGTATCTTCAAAAAATTAAGCGCGTGGGAACACCATCCATTTCACCACTCCCTTCCCAGGATTAACTCTGCTACCCGTAGGCTTAGGCAAGTTAAGCCAATATATCCACTTTGCAATACTGAGTGTTTTAAAAATTATTTTATTAATAGACTTAGTTTTAAGCATAACTTAGCTGTAAGTAATTAATACATATTTTAGCCCATTACACTTTATATGTAACACTTGATATGTATTTTATCAGTGAAATAAAGACTATTTATTTATTTCTTTACTACAAAAGCTCTGCGGTTTTGGAATTTCTGGTTCATTATTATTGTGGTGTGAAAGTTATTGAGAAATCGTTGGCAAAGAGTTGTGTTAGATGGAGTCTCATATACCTGGTCAGAGGCTACTTCTGGAGTCCCACAAGGCACCATATTGGGGCCGTTCTTCTTCGTAATATTTATAAGTGACTTGCCCGACGCAATTCTCCCTGGAAATGCGCTGACGACTGCAAATGTTCAAGAATCATCGATGATGCTAGCGATCAATGTTTGTTTCAACAGGACCTAGATAATCTTTATCAGTGGGGTATTCGCAACTCTATGGACTTTAATGTCAAAAAATGTGAAATCATGAGAATAACAAAGAGAAAACAACCTTATGTCTCTAATTTTTCCTTGGATAATTCCATCTTGGAAGAAGTTAAAGAATTCAAAGACTTGGGGGTAACAACTACTGAACACTTGAACTGGAATTCGCACATTGATATTATTGTGTCCAAAGCAAACAGAATGTTAGGGCTAATCAAAAGAACATGCAGAGGACTGGATGACTCAAACACACTGAGAACTCTCTACTGCGCATTGGTACGATCAAATGTTGAATACTGCTCTGTGGTATGGTCACCCTACACCAAAAAGAACACAGAAAAGCTTGAAAAAGTACAAAAAAGAGCAACCAAATTCATATTAAAGACTGAGGATCGTCTAAAGAAGTTAAATTTGATGTCATTAGAAAATAGAAGACTTTTAGCTGACGTTAAATTTTTATATAAAGCCCTCAATGGAATTATTGACATTAATATTGACTCTTATGTTGATTTTTTTCGGATGCTGACTATTATTCATTTAGGAAATATGATAATTTATCTTTAAAGAAGAAATACGCAAGAACAAATCCTCTCAAATATAGTTTTTTTTTTAACAGGATAGTTGATTCCTGGAATCTTTTGCCCTTTGATACTCGTAGAGCAGCAAGTGTAAATATTTTTGATAAATATTTCGCTCCGACGAAGGGCTAACGCTTGAAACGTCAGCTTTTGTAATCGTTACGGTGGCCGATTTACCATTTCAACTTTGTTGATATATCCAAATTATAAATACTTTTGAGGCAGGAGTTAAGAAGTATTTAGTGGATAACATATCTAATTAATAATTCCGAGGAATTTTTATAATAATCATTTCTAGTTTAAAACACATGTAATATTATTAGCCTATTTAACTTTGGTGATCTGTTTTCATATGGGGTCCTGGACTCCTTTACGGATTATCCATATGGCGTTTCTTTTCTTCTCGCTTGTACTTTACAACTTTATTTGTTTTAACTGAGCCATTAAATTGTAATAAATAAATAAATAAATGAATTACGAGCTGACTAAGTCAGTAAACCGATGAGATGTATCGCCACTGCGATATGTTTGTGGCGCATGCGTATGTCCTTACCAAGAGGGATATGTTTTTTACACCAATCACATCGCGCACTGAATCCCTTCAAATGTTTAAAAAAATGTACCCCAACTTACCTTGACGACCTCTGTCTCCTGGGACAAAAGCTGAGCGAAGAATGGGGTCCAACGATCACGTGGCGGCTAGGTCCAAATTCAAAATGGCGAGCGGTGGAAACTTTCGAGAGGTTTTGCATCTCAGTGGCAAGCCCCAGGGAAACGTGATAAATTTTACTGTAGGATCAACAACGATCGTGAGGGATGAAGAAAACGCTAAGCCCCATACAGGAGGTGGATTTGCTTACCGAGAGAGTGGGAATGTAGATTCTGTCACTCGAAACCGCTACATCTTCTGGTTCGTATGGACAAGAAAATTTGAGTTTGAAACTTGTTCCTCGTGGCTGTTTGTTGTTAAGTTTTTGGAGCTAATAACAGTACTTGCTTGTTTAAACTTAGTTCGAAGTGCTCACCAAACTGTGGAAAAATAACAGCAATGTCTACATATAAATTTCGTCCACATTTTAAAGAAACTGAGGGTTATGTATTATAGGTGTACTTAGGAAACTACCTCACATTGCCATATTTGCCCACAAGCTAGTTGAAACGAAATTAAGTAGATATTTGTGCATTCGATTTCCTAAATTTTTTTGCGAATGTTTTCATACCTAGGAGAGTCACAGATAATGTACTGGAACTATTTGAAGAATCACTTGACAACACTCTCTCAGGAAACCACCTTGAACTACAGTTTACTGATGGCATTCTTTTACCAGTGGTGTATATCTTTGAAACTCCTGCACATGTTAGCCTGTTGATTGCCACGACCAACAGTGTCCACAGGATCGTGTTTCCCCATCCAGACAGACTTCGTAGATATGTAAGTTTTTTTGCAGAAGAGTGGATGGCAGCAGCCTTGTTAACCCTTTAAACCATAAAAGTGATCAGTATCTAATTTCTCCCTACAGAAATACTGCTAAATCTTTTTAAAGGTTATGAGAATAAAGGAAATCATCACAAACCTAAGAAGCTTTGATTGTTTAACAAATTTTCCCTGTCAAAAACTAAGAAAATGTACAGAGAAGAGTGTGGAGAGAACAGATACTGATGTTAGGGATTAAAGGAATGAACTGTATCAGGTTAAGAGGTCTGTTTTTTTTTCCTGACAGAAATTTTATACTTGCATGTTTTTTGTAGTGTACTAGATGTTCTTATTCAGTAAAAGGACACTGCCTTTTTCATGCTTAAAGTAAATCTCTAGCGGTAGAAGATGCAGGGCTCGAATTTAATTTTTGGATCACTAACCCTTTGGGTTAGTAGACATCTTTTTACTAACCGAATTATAAAGTTTGGTATCCAAGCTCACAAGTTACGATATCTCAAATATTGAACATTTTGTTAATAACAACTAGGACAAATTAAAGAGCAGCTGAAATTGCATGGTTACCTTAAAAACATTGACAATTAAGCACCTATTTTAATCCTCTCTCGTTTACCATGATTATAGAACTCTGCATAATTCAATGCCGAACTGCCAGAACCTCATGAACAATATATAATTTCGAAGCGAATATTTGCAACATGGTGGATCTGATAAAGTTGTGTCCAGATCTCCACATTCGACACAAATTCGCATTCAGGGCCTTAGCGCTCGAAATGGCTGTAAAGCTCAATTCGATTCCAAAGACAGCAAGAACAAATTGTTTGAGACAGAAAACAAGCTAATGCAAGTAAATAACATATAAACCGTTCCTAATACTTATTATTTATTTGTAAAAAGGTTATTTCCATAACATAATTTAAATATGTTAGAAATTTTACTAACCATGTCAGGTTAGTTGGACATATTTTTAGTAACCAAACGTTGAAAATTACTAACCATTGGTTAATGGGTTACTGTTAATTTTGAGCCCTAAGATGGAAGATGTGTTTGAAAAGTTGGGAAACAAGAACCAAACTGTCTCAAATTTGGAAATATATGCAAGCAGCTTTAATGCTCAAATTTCCTAGAAGGCACTATTTTGGCTTGCATGACATTACCTGGTTGCCACCGTTTTCATCAGATGATAGCCTTTATTTAGTTTGCATGAACCTCAAGGTGATCATGCAGTGACAACTCTGACACATTATACAGTTCATCATGGCTAGACATACAGAATTCCAATTTAAACACAGCTGATATCTGTTTCAATATTTCCTCTCACTTGCTGGTAGTATTTCATTCGCATTTATGACCTCAAATTTTAACTTAAAGGACTAGATCTCTGATAATTAACGAAAGTGTTCACCACCACCAGAGGCTCCTAATGGAGTCACTTTTTACGCAGTAGATGCAGTTAATGGTCCATGGTTTGTCTCCAGAGGTAAGGCTGTGCTCCAAGAAAAATTGAAGGGAGCCCAGTGCTCTGAAATTGTGAAATCCAGGGTTCTCAGTATATACTTTTTATGAAAAAAAAAATAGGATTTCCAAGTTTCTGGAGGACAAAAGTAAGGTACCAGGAGCCAACGGGTGCTGCAAGAGCAATGGCTTTTATTTACTGTGATCTGCTGTATTTTACCATAGAGTTTGTGATCTTGGGCTGTGGTGTTCACCTTGCTTTAACTTTATCTTCCAGGGATTTGGTTTGTCTTACTCTGGTGAAGGAAGTCAGCAGTCAATCTTTAATGATTTTTCCAGTCATCAGCTGAGAGATCCTTCAAATTTTGGAACTTTTTCACAATCATGCGTGACTTTTGCAAGCTGGCTTTGTCAGGATGGACATTGTCTCTTTGCTTTAGCTACTACTTCGGGAATAATCCTTTTGATAAAATTGCCTCCCCCTGGGAGTGGTGGTAAGAGGAATTTCTAGCCCTTCAACACCTGTGATCAGATTTAAGTTAGTTTGGTTTTATCAACTGGATCAAGAGTCAGTGTGAATTGGCCGCAGTAGAAGTTCTAATGCTGACGTTTGGGTTATGAAATAAAATAAATAAATGAATAATAATTTAGCAATGGACATTCCACTGGGTGGCTTTTCTTGTCCACTGTTTCCAGATCTAATTGGAATTTGGATTGTTGGTTTTTGTGGAGGGAGGAAAACCGGAGGATCCGGAGAAAAACCCTCGGAGCAAGGATGAGAGCCAACAACAAACTCAACGCATATGTGACGCCAGGTACAGGAATCAAACCCGGGCCACTGTGGTGGGAGGCGAGTGCTCTCACCACTGTGCCATCCCTGCTCGCCCTTGTTTTAGAGTGAATCAGCTTTAGAATCTCTTTATGAAGGCCAATTCACATCAGCAATGCAGTTGATAAAACTAAATTACCACGTAATACTGCTACTGATGCAGCATAACAGTTTCTTCAGAAACTAACTCCCTTCATTCAGGATCAGATTCACTTGTATGTTTGTTCTAATCTTCTGACCAAGAGTAGCCCAGAAATAGACTGTTATTGTTTGCGCTGATTGATGTCTAGACAACCTGAACAAAAGTTATTGTTAGACTCAAGTGAAGTCAGATTGTCCAAACAACATCTAATGCTACTGCCAATACTCCTTTTTCATGGCTACTCACAAGTTCTGATGATCAGACCAAATTATTAACAGTTCATGTTTGGCTTCAAACCATTTATTGTAGGATCAGATATGTTTTTCTCCCCTCTACTGGCTATTCACCTCATTATAAATTAATTGTGAGAATTTGGCCTTCTGTCAAGACAACATCATCCAACCAATGAGTCTGGTTTAGTATTCTCCTAACCTGTTTGCTGGACATTGTATTAATAAACAAGTAATAAATAAATAAATAATAAATAATAATAATAAATATAATAATAAATATAATAATAAATAAATAAGTTTTGACTTTGTACTTGGGGAAATTACACACTGATCAATACTGGTTTGTATTATGATAGGTCAAGTAGAGCATTATGAATTGAAGGAAGCAGGAGTCATGCAGCGTCTTTGGTCTGGTCTGGTCCCTTCAAGCTTGCGGAGGGACACAATGGCTTCTGATGCTGCATTGAGTGTGGTAATCCATCCATATGGAAAACATATGTGTGTGTTTGCTCTGTGCCGAGATTTCAAGCTCAGGATTTGGTCCTGCCAGGTACACTGGAAAATATCACAATAGATATTTTTTTAAAGCCAGCAAACATTCCTTTGAGCATTTGCTTAATATTCGCCTCTTTGGGTTTTCAAGAATCTTTTAAAACCTCTAAACCTTTCATTCTGAAGATCCCCTTAATAATTTTCCTTTTTATCCAACTGTGCTTTGTAGGGTACAAATAACATGGGAGACGAGTACAAATATCATGTGATATTTGTACTTCAGAAATATCTGCGAAATTCACTTGCTCTGAAATAACAATTTGGCATGTTGGATAATAAATCTCTTATTAGACATTTTGTTGTGTACTGTCGCTGAGTATTTTGACTTATTGTTTGTATTTTGTCTTGCCTTACGGGCTTGTCAAAATACGGCACAACTCATAAAAACACTCAGCGATACTACACAACAAAGCGTCTAATAAGATATATTTATTATCCAACTGTGCTTTGTAGAGTACAAATAACGTGTGAGGCAACTACAAATATCACGTGATATTAATTTTTGGTACTCGAGAAATATTGTAAGAAATAGACAACTTTTTTGAGAGACATGTTTTGGCATGCTTATGCCATCTTCAATCAATGAGTAACAGAACATGAGTAATTCTATAACAAATGAATAAAGGCTGATAGTTTCGAAAGAAACTGTTGGGGGTTGCGTCGGTGGGAGTAACGAAATGATTTGGATATATCAACAAAGTTGAAATGGTAAATTGGCCACCATAACGATTACAAAAGCTGACGTTTCGAGCGTTAGCCCTTCGTCGGAGCGAAGGGCTAACGCTCGAAACGTCAGCTTTTGTAATCGTTACAGTGGCCAATTTACCATTTCAACTTTGTTGATATATCCAAGTTAATTGTATAACAGATAAGTAGATGAATAAAATATTTACAGTATGATGTAATACAAACGTGGGTACTAATTACAAAGTGACACCAAACATCAAAGGTGTCACATTGTAATTAGTACCCACTTTTTTATTACATCATACTGTAAATATTTTATTCATCTACTTGTCTGTTATGTAATTACTCATGTTCTGTTACTCATTGATTGAAGATGGCATAAGCATGCCGAAACATGACTCTCAAAAAAGTTGTCTATTTCTTACAATATTTATCATACTTGTTACTACTACGGCTCCAGAAATACCCGTGAAATTCTCTCACACTGAAATAATAGTTTGGTGTGTAAGATAATAAATCTCCTATAAAACATTTTGTCGAGTATAGTATTGCTGAGTATTTTTACTTGTTGTTTGTATTTTGACTCGCCCTATGGGCTTGTCAAAATACCATACAACTAATAAAATACTCAGCAATACTACACAAGAAAATGTTTAATAAGATATATTTATTGTCTGCTATACAACTCCTGTGATGTTAGCTCAGAGAATCTGGTATTGGATCAACTAAGAATCCCTTAAATTGATATTTTTCTTGATTTTAATCACTTGTTTACTTGATATTTTAGTGATACTTAAGAAGTGATTCTCTCTCGGTCAGTCCAATACCCAGGGAGTATTTTAACATTGTTTCTCTAGGTTTCTGCCCAGTACAGAATGCGGCATTTTAACTTTTTATTGTTGCTGTCACCTTTTTTTTTAGTGAATAGATATCACGAAGAACAGGGTTAACTTTGATTTTTCTCTACTAGACTCAATCATGCATTTATGTCAAAGATCTTCTGGAGGATATTCGTGATGATATGGATGCTCAAAACTTTCCAGGTGGATCTATTTTTTAAAGTTACTTATTTTTGTTTAAAGCTTTGTTGCTTCTTTTATCTTTTTTTAATGATTCTGCAGTGGAGGTCAGGTTGAAGTAGTCAGTCAGCCTGATGTTGGTGATATTTTTGTGAGAGGATGAAATCTATGTTAGCAGGAGTCAAATTTTTATTCACTTCACGTAATGCTAAAATAACATGAATTTTTTTTCTCCACAGCTTCAGGCCATTTACTCCGGAAAGTGGTAGATCCATCAAGTGGTAAACTTTGTCTTGGTCTATTTTTAAACCTTACATACAACACACAGGTGAGTGTGTGGGGAAGGCAGGGGGAAGGGGGAGTGAAAAGGAGAGGGGTGAGGGAAGGGGGAGGAGGGTGTGGGGAAGGCAGGGGGGGAAGGAGGAAAAGTGAGAGAAGCTACCAGTATAATACTGCCACTCAGTGATGGCGCAAACCTTCCCTTGACAAATTATCACATAAACCTCTTGAAAACTATTGCCGTTCAGTCTTATGAATTTAAAAGTTTAATGAATTACACTTGACCACTAACTTTATCAGCCCCAAGATCTCTTTTAGTGATTCTCTTTACTGTCTACTATACATTGCTTTGAATAAATTTAGTTCTGAGAATTAAGTATTAGATTGAATATTATCCTCCTTATTGATGTTTTTGTATATTCTCATTACTTGTCTGCTTGCTATTGTATTGATATTTCAAGGAGAAAGTATGTCTTGGTCACTGCTGCGGGCTGTGGAGGGGCTAATAAACAAAAGAACAACAACATGTTAATGTCACAATAATTTATTGAGACTAATGTTTACTTTTAGTGAACACAAGCCAACAATTTTGCGGGTACATTTGATTCCTGATAACTTAAACCCTCGATAACTTGAACCTCTTGTTAACTTGTAGCAGTTCTCTATATATTCATATCCTCAATAACTCGAACCATGTGAAACCATTGTCTGTTCTTTGCTTTGAAAACTGTAAAGTTTGAATTACCACGAATTTAATACAGCCTTAATACTTTTAATATCCAGCTGCTTTGCTTTGTTTTGTTTCATGTTATGTTATGATCTGATTCCTACCGTGATTTAATTTAATGTTCCATTTTCACTTGACTTATTTATAATTAAATTTGATTAAAATGTATAGCTGTATGAATAGAAAAACTGTAAACACTTTTCCCTCATTTCTGGTCCTTTACTTCTTGCTAACTCAGACTTCCAATTACTCAAACCTTTTTCAATTTCCCTTTAAGGTTCGAGTTATCTGGAGTTAATAAGTTTGCACAGAAATGATTAACTATGTAATACTACATAGTTCGCTCAGACGAAGGGCTCCGACGAAGGGCTAACGCTCGAAACATCAGCTTTTGTAATCGTTATGGTGGCCAATTTACCATTTCAACTTTGTTGATATATCCAAATTATTATGTAATACTACCACAGTTATTAAAACATTCGATTGACAACTGTTATCAATATAACACAATTTGTATTTATGGTTTTAGTTCTGTGTGTATGAGGTTGTGCCGTCTTCAAAGGATGAACCAAGCTTGTCTGCACTTTCATTCTCGTACTTCCCAAAGGTAAAATCACAAAACTGACTCATCATGTGAGGGGAAAGAGTGGCGGACTGGTTATGGCACTGGTATTAAATTTTGTTGGCCCTTAACCCTGCTACTCGCTGAATTTGTGTTCTGTTGAGTTCAAATCCTTGGCTGTTCTTTGCATAAACTCAATTGGTCTGCTTCCTGCCAGTAGGGGCATTTAGGTCACTCTATTCACTATGTGTATTTCCAATTTGTTTAATTAATCATTTGTAAATTTTTAAATGCATTGAGACTTGTGGAACATGTCCTAGGAATTGCTATTACCCCCTCTGGAAATTCAGTAGCCTGGTGGTTTGTGTAGCAAGGATCTCTCCTGGATGCCTACTGTTTCTTATTTGTCTTCTGCCTTGAAACTTTTGGATGACCCTACTTCTGTCCTATCACTTATGGATGAATATGATTTTTGTTTTGAAAAAGGAAAATCTTGTAGACTTTGCTGTGAATTCATCGAACATCTGGACATTATGGACAGATAAAAATGGGGAAACAATGGCCTATTTCACTTCCATTGATCAGTAAGTTTATAAATTGCAATAAAGTGTGAAATGTTTGTCTGAGGAATTTTCTAATCAAATGAACTTCTTGATGATAAATCTGTCTGTTCCTGATGCCAAATGGTTTCACTCACTTTTGTAGCTTAGATGCACAAGAATGTGGTTGGAAGAGGATATTCCTTGAACCGACAGAGAATTCTGATGTCATGGTTCCACCATTTAAAGAACCAAGAGTAAGTTTTTTATTGTAGAGTTACTGGAAATCTAATGGGTCAAAGAGGAATGTAAAAAAATGAGGAACTTTAGAACATTATTGAATAGTCTGCAGAAATGTTTAACAATATGCAATAACAGAAATACACTCGGAGCATTAGCCAGGATGCGTTGTTAAATTTCAGGATGTGGAAAACTAAGTACAGTACTGTAAATCCTCTCATAAGCTCCCAGCTGAAAACATTTGGTTTAAACATTTGAAAAATTTTTCTCCTAATCTTTTAGCCTTGTATATAGAATATCATTTATTAAGCGAACATTATGGACAAGCTCCTAGATGTTTATTTATTTCAGGTACTTTGCAGGGGGGGGGGTGGCTTAGTAGAGGGGGCCTAATGCTTTAGCTTGATGTTCACTTCCACGATACAATAGGATATGATGTACAGTACTTGAATAAATTCATCATTCTTACTGACATGGAGTGTCATTTTGAATTTTTGTTTTTTGAGGGGGAGGGGTTGTTTTTTGAGCAGGGGGGCTTAGTAGGGGATGGCTTATTAGAGGGGGGGTTAATAGAGGATTAATGACATGTTTGGAAATCCAATAGGAGTTTTCTTCAAGTTCAATGTGCTGTTGGGGTGTTTTTTAAGAAATGTTTCACAATTTCAAAGAACCTTTAGGAATCTTGTCCAGAACAATTTGTAGTTAGTGTGGTACTGGTAATTATTTGTAGCATGTAAGTAAAAACTTGTGGCTTGTTAATTAATTTAACAATTTTTCTTTGTTCTTCTTATCCCTTAATACGTTATCTTATTTGTGATATTTATGGGGATTATCGCAATCTTTGACTGGCCTGCACTGATTAGCTCTCCCATTAGTGAGCCAGTCTAATGTAGCAGTGTTTGATATACAAAACAATTAAAGTTTGTTGTTATTGTTGTTGTTGTTGTATTCAATGAGAAGTTGAAAAAAAAAACCAGCTACATTATTATAGTAACATTGAAAATATCCACATTAATAGAGAGTATATTTTTTTACCTTGAATTTTATCCCATCATAATATTTGTTAAACTTTTTTTTCAGGAAGTTTTTCTTGATGAGCTCTTCTATCCTGGGAGGTTTTCAAATCATGTCATCATTAAAGCCATGCAGGTGCAGTTCTCTAAATATGATCACAAGATCCTGTGGCTGCACAGTTTCTTTTGTTGCTTTTTTTTATTTGGTTCTCTACTTCCACATAAAGTGATGATGTGATTTGTAAAGCAGATTCCTAATTATTTTGTGTTTTTTTTCCTTTTTTTTCTCTATAGATATACCGTCATTTACCAGTGTCAAACTTTATCAGTGATTTTGATGAAACAGTTTCAAGGAGTGATTTAAAACTGGCTGTTATCAACCTCATTGATTCAGAGGTTTGTATGGAAAAGAGATGCATCTAATCTTTCCTGAGATTCCATTGTTTTACTATAAAATTTAAAATTTATAATTTAAAGATTCCATTGTTTTACTATAAAATTGTGCAAAATGTTAACTAAGTGCCTGGGTACTTATTTGAGGAAGTGCAGTGAAAGTTTACCACCTATAAATTATCTATAAATTATCTATAAATTATCTATAAATTATCTATAAATTATCTATAAATTATCTATAAATTAAAGCAAATCACCTTCACTTCTTTAGATTCAGATGTCAGCTCCAGATTACGAGATGCTTCATGATGAGTTCAATGATCTTCAGCTACAGTGTTGGACAAAGTTCTACAGCTTTGTTGTACAGTACCATCAAGTTAGTATCCATCTTCCTGGTTGCTTCAAGCCACCACCATTTTGGTCACCATGTATATGCAAAGAAAAAATTTTGGAGACAAAATTTCAGCCATGATTGCCAGATTGGTGCCCTGTGTACATGGAGTTTACATACCTTTAGCGCCAAAAGAACAATGTCACTATCTGAGCAACTAAGCACCTGCCCACCCCTCCCCTAACTTAACATTTTACTTCAACTCGTTATCAGTTGAACGTTATAAGTTGTAGGGGAGCGGTAGGTGGAGAATGAACATTGTTGAAGGTATCATATTGGTTTTAGAAAGGGAATTTTGTAACTGTGTTTAACAGGGCTCGACACTAACTTTTCAACTTACTAGCCACGTGGCTAGTGACATCTAAGATGTATTTAGATGTTATGACAATTTCAGTCTGTTTACTAGCCAAACTGGCTAGTGACATCTAAGATGTTTTTAGATGTTACGACAATTTCAGTCTGTTTACTAGCCAAACTGGTTAGCGGATATTGAAAAACCACTAGCCAAGACTGAATTTCTGCTAGTCTGTGGCTAGTGGGCTACCGTTAGTGTCCAGCCCTGCTGTTAGTTTGAGACTGACTTTTGTGTACTTCAAATGAATCAACAATGAATCTGTCAAGACAGTGAAAGAATATTGTATCACTCCCAATGTATGTCTGTTAAATTTCTGTCTGAGGTGTACATAAATCTTATTAACCAAGTGTGAGGTCCGTACAAAAAAGACCGAGGGCTGATATTCTTCCAGTACGGCCCCGAGCAAGCTTGGTTAATAAGAGATTTATTATACAACTGAAGTTCAAAGGGACACAAGTGCGGTATCATTCGGGACCATTCGGGACCATTCGGGACACTGCCCTGTCCAATACTTAGATAACGTTGGACCGGCAATAGAGCATTTTGATTGGTTGATTTTAGTTATTGGCCCTCTGACTGCCTGAGTCGTGTAATAAATTACTGTTATTAATTCTTTCTTCAGGTTGGAGGTAAAGCCTTGGGTATATTCAATGACACTAAAACAGGATTAGTCTGTGTTGTGCGAAAGGTAAACTGCAATTGTTCACTCATAATAATTATATTAATTAGAGGTTTTCTTTAAAATCACCCCTGTCACTCCCAAGATCTTATAACTTTTGATTCTTCATTCTGTTTGTTATACATTTTTCATAATTTTAGCTCTGATAATTGATGTTAAATCAAAATATCCCTGGGAAATATTTTTCATTCTCTTCATTCTCTTCCTCTCAAACTTGAAATGATCTTGTAAGGAGAAACTCTTCCTTGATCAGGGGTTTGGAACAAAGAAAATAGTGAAGAAAATTATTTACAAGCACACAATTTCCTGCCACCTTTATCTGTTACAGAATTCTATGGATAGCATTTTTTTAACATTCTCATATTTTTTCATAGGAAATACTGTCGTTCCTAAGGCCATGTGACCTGTTTGAGCAACTTCATCTTTCTGTGGAACCTTTGGAAACATCAATAGTTGACACAGAGCCTCTTCTTGGTAGGTATACAGTCTTAATGTTCCAACTACAGCAGATTTGCTTTTTAACATGGAAGTGTAACTTCCTCTAACAAAATGAGTTGAAGGTCTGCACTGTATGATTTGGATTGGGCATCGATCCCTTCAATTTGTGGTCCAAATAGCAAGTGGGATTGCTGTAACCACAAGACTGACTTGGGGTACAATGTTTGACACTATTGTCCGAGTTTAGACACCTATGTCCGATTTTAGATTCCAGTGTCCTATTGTAGACACTAGTGTCTGAGTTTAGACAGCAATGTCCAATTTTCGCTCTGACAAAGGGCTAACGCTCGAAACATCAGCTTTTGTAATTGTTACGGTGGCCAATTTACCATTTCAACTTTGTTGATATATCCAAATTATTTCGTTACCCTCACCAACGCAGCCCCAAACAGTTTCTTTCAAAACTATCTGCCTTTATTCATAATTATGTCCAATTTTAGACACAAGTGTTTGATTTGAAACACAAGTGTCTGATTTTAGATACTAGTGTCCAATTGAGGACTCTATAAGTTATTCTAGGGCATTGTGATATGTTCATGATTAACCAACTTCTTGTGACAAATAAATCAGAAGACAAGAGCTCTTATAGTTGAAAGTAATATGCTTATCAGTCTTGCTTTTTTCACTATTTCTGTACTTGGCAGATAAAACCACGAAAGAATCATTCGTGGATTTGTGTAACATCATCAGAATGGTTTCAGATCAGGTGAACTAATGTTATGAGTGACTAGTATCTAATTTCTCCTTACAATATCACCCCTTAATGTAACATTAAGGTCATGAGAATATAGGAAATGATCACCAACTAAAGAAGCTCTTGATTGTTAAACAAATTCTCCTTGTCAGCACTTCAGGAAATCTATAAAGAACAGTATGGAGAATATGTATACTGATGTTAGGGTGTAAAGGATTAAATAAGGTTATTTTTTTATTAATGGTGATTCAATTAGGTGTGATCAAATTCAGCAGTCTTACAAAGCAATAACTTCGCTACAGAAAAAATTATTTCTTTCGGGAGGTCATGTGAAGTAACTTAGAGTTCTTGTTTAAAAGTGTGAGATTTTAGTTCAGTTTTTTGTTTATTGATAGGTCTTAGCTCAATGCTGTGTTTTGTACACATCAATCAAATGGTTTGCCCCTCATTGGTTTGGATTTCAAACAAATTTTAACCCTCTTACTCTGTGTATTTGATATGTAATGACTTTTCATTCTACCCAATGATTGCCAAACTTTTATGTATCTTGACCTGCAAATTTTTTTTTTTTAATTTTTTCCACCACTATTCCAATGTAGTTAACCCTTGAGCATTTGTCAGCACTTGAAAATGATGTCATGTACCAACTGAATCCAGCATTAACTGCAGATCAGATTGCTGTTTATCTTCTGACAAATATCAGGTAAGAAACTACAGTGTATTCCCCACATGAAACTTTTAATCTCCCTCTCTGATAAGCCTATTAAACCCTTCTCTAATTAGCCCCCTCTCTATTTATTCCCTTCTCTGACAAGACCCCCACCTCTTTAATCAGACCCCCTCTGAGAAACCTCTCCCTCTACTATTCCCCCTCTTTCTGGTAAGGCTTTCTCTTTACTAAACCCCCTGTGTAACAAGCCCCTACTCCAATGGGCCCCTCTCTAATAAGCTTCTTTCTTTTATACCTCCCCCCCCCTTGGATTCGCCCCCACTTATATGCACCTCTCTCTAAAAGGTCCCCTCTTTCTAATACATCCCCTCTCTAATAATCCTACTCCTGTCTTCAGCCCACTCTCTTATTTTCCTTTCTCTTTCATAAGCTTCTCTTTTTAGTGAACCCATCTTTATGAAGAAGACCCCTCTCCAATAAGCCCCTCTCTTGTCTCCTTTCCTATCAAAGAAAAAAAAAGCAATGAGAAATTGTATGATCCTGTGGTGCCCTTAAATTTCCTAATTGCTTACCTTTTTTTGTGGTGTACTTTGCTTAGTGACGAAGATCAAGGAGAGGCGGATACAAATGCTTTATTTCAGTTTCAACAGGAACTGGAGACCAGGTATATCCAACGAAAAAGTAGTTTTATCTAAATTAGGAAACTAGAATTGAAGCTGCTTTCTGGAAAGTTAGAATTTTTCCAAATTTAAGGGCCTGAAAAAAACAAAACCAAAAAAAAAAAATTCCAATTATTTGGGCCATGCAAGTTCTTCCTGTCCTGAGACCTGTTTCTCAAGATTTTGGTACTTAGACAGGCCTGTAAAGCTGTTCTGTTTTCTGGGGAGTTTCAAAAGTTTTGAGAATTATGCAACAAACTACCAGCTAAAGAAACAAAATGGACTGGTCAGGGAGCCAGAACCCGCTCCTCCTTTCTTTGATTCCTTCACCAGGACTTTTGAGAAAAGGCCCTTGGTAACTTGCTGGGGGGGGGGGAGGGCAAGTCAAGGTTTTTAGCTTGAGAAGGGCAGGGTGAGGAGGGAGGGGTGGGTGGATGTATATATATATCTGTTCAATGCTGACTAATTTGTTTTTCTGTAGTTTGCACAAGATACCAAATATCTTCCACAGTTTGGAATACCTTCTTCTGGCATTAGAAAGTGAACTCATGGAGGATGCTCCAGATGAGCAACACACTGGTGAGGTTTCACTTCAGCTTTTATTTAGCTTTTTGCTGCTAGACTTTTTCTAACTTTTGCCAGGTTCTTGATCAGTGGAAAGAAGGGAAAAATGGCAAGGTCTGGTAAGAAGTGACAATGGAGGGGGGGAGGGTGTGGGGAAAAACATCCCTCCCTCCCTCCCTCCCTTCCCTTACCAGGTTTTTTATTAAGAAATTTAGTAACATGATGACCGTGTTTTGTAATTAGTTCTTATTAACAGAGCGAGAGGTCTGTATGGGAGAATCTTGACCAAGGTTGCCAGTACAGACCAAATGCAGTGAGGTCTGTACCAGCGACCGAGGTCAAGATTCTCCTGTACAGACCGACCTAGCTCGGTTAATAAGATGTTTATTATATGGCTGTGTCTTGTATGCCAATTTTTTATATTCTTTGTACCTTTTTTTCTAGACTGGTCTAGATGCCGGTCTAGATGGGAAAATCTAGGCTGCTTTCAATATTGATTTTCAGCCAATCAAATTCGTGAATTTAGTAGTTCCCAGTCCTTGTGAGACACAGCCATATAATAAGTGGGAAATATTCTCCACATCTTGACGCTTTGCACTTTAACATCAGTATGCATATTCTCCATACTGTTCTCCATAAATTTCCTGTAGTGCTGGCAAAGAGAATTTGATGGCAAATGAGATTACACCCTGTAGCTGTTCCATTACCACTCAGCTGAGTGATGCATTGATATGGCGAGGAGGAGACAATATCTGTCATTAATATTTTGGGTTAAATGCTTTGTCACAGGTTGGTCAGATTTCTCTCATATCATGACTGGACATCAGCTGTTCCGTGCTCCTCTAACCTGCTCTCTGCTCTCCAAGGCTGCTCACCAAATTGCTTCATCGAGAATGTCCGTCTGTAAACAGTTATTGGTGTTGCTAAGTTTGATGACCAGGCTGAGTGTCAACAAGGTACTTAACATTGATACTCTCAAACGATGTACCTTTTCCTTTCTCAATTTAACAAATGGTAAACGCCCCAGTGTACACTACTGAGTTATGGATGCACGCAGGAGGTTGCTAAGCACGGAAAAAAGCGCAAGAGTCGCGCGAGGCGATAGCTGAGAGCGACTTTAGCATATTGAGTGAGGGGTCAGAAAGGGGGCTTTTTATCCCTTTTTTGCTCCTGTCCATATCATCGTCTTGTATGTCCCCTGGTAGGAGGCAGCGTGGCCGAGTGGTCAGCGTGTCGGACTCGCAATCCAACGCTCCTGAGTTCGAGTCCCGCCCTGACTGGATTTTTTTCACAGCAGCTCCGAGTTCAAATTCTCGGCCACGCTTGTAAATAGCCAACTGGTTTGCCTCCGGCCAGTTGGGATTCTTAACAACGTTGTGTTCAATTTGAATCATTTGTTTCAGTTGTTTACTCGGCCTCACTAGCACTTTGTGTGCTGTAAACACTGCCGAGGGTAAAATAAAGTTTTTATTTTATTTAATTTTTTTTCCCTCCTCCCTCCCCCCCTCCCCCCCCTTTCAGGGATTTCAATACCTTTTTTGATATTTAAGCAGCTGCTTATGGCGCAGTTGAATGGCAGTTGTGACTGGAAAAGGGGGTGTTTGGTGAAACTCAAACACAGGAGCCTGAACAGACAGTGGTGAGAGGTCTTACAGGCAGCTGTATGTCGCCAATAACTGGCATTTGAAACGTGTGCCCCATCATTCCGTACTGTGCATGAATTATCAGAGTATAGTCTCTCGCCTTTTATTCTTCTCCTTTTCCTCATCATTGGCATATTCCCCTCTCCCCCCTCCCCTCCCCCGTCACCTCACCCTCCTCCTCATGGCCCATAACTACCCATTACATTGATTTTCTAGAGGCTTTATCAATGATTTCCTCTTTTATTTTTCCAACGTTCCCGTGTCCTTGTAGTACAGATTCTTAATTCTCTTTCCATTTCCCAGACTCCATTTCTAATGTTTTTTGTGTTCCTAAGATTGGCCTGGATGCCAGGAAAGCTGAGGATGTATCATCATTGTACATTCCTAGAACAGTTCAGCTTCTCAGGCTTTATGTTGCTCTGCATTGGATCCTGGAACAAGCTGTCACTCCCACCCCGTCAAGCTCTGTGTACGTACAACAGTTCGGCATACGTTAGGTTGTTCAGGAAGCAAAGGGTACTTTTTTCTCTCCTCAGCAATCGATTGACAATAACTGTCCACTTGACTTTGATCAGGATTTCCGCTTAGGTTGTTGAAGTGTCAGTCACTTTCACTGACAACAGTCATACTACACTCGCACTCAGGACCACACTCGCACTCAGGACCACACTCGCACTCAGGACCACACTCGCACTCAGGACCACACTCGCACTCGGGACCACACTCGCACTCGGGACCACCCTCGCACTCGGGACCACCCTCGCACTCGGGACCACCCTCGCACTCGGGACCACCCTCGCACTCGGGACCACCCTCGCACTCGGGACCACCCTCGCACTCGGGACCACCCTCGCACTCGGGACTACACTCACCCAGACAATCAGACCAACGTGATAACAATAATATTCTAATTGGTACAAAAGGGTTGNGCACTCGGGACCACCCTCGCACTCGGGACCACCCTCGCACTCGGGACCACCCTCGCACTCGGGACCACCCTCGCACTCGGGACCACCCTCGCACTCGGGACCACCCTCGCACTCGGGACCACCCTCGCACTCGGGACCACCCTCGCACTCGGGACCACCCTCGCACTCGGGACCACCCTCGCACTCGGGACCACCCTCGCACTCGGGACCACCCTCGCACTCGGGACCACCCTCGCACTCGGGACCACCCTCGCACTCGGGACCACCCTCGCACTCGGGACTACACTCACCCAGACAATCAGACCAACGTGATAACAATAATATTCTAATTGGTACAAAAGGGTTGACTCATTTGTCAAATTAGAGAGTAATTATGAAGAGTGCATGACTCCTGTCATTCAACTGTCACATTTTTCAACAATCCTGTCAACTTTTTTTTGTACAGAGAGTCAAACCTAAAACAGTTAGCTACTCTGGAAATTTCAGATGGATTGGAATCAAAAGCAGTCCCCGGTGAGAGCTAAAAAAATTATTACAGGGAAATGTTTTTTTTTGTTCATGATTGTTTAGTTGAGCAACTGTTAACTTTATGTGTTTTCTTTTTGTAGATGATCCATCTCTAACACTAGGGGAGCTCTTCCTTTGTGGTGTGGGGGGAACACAACTGAGAAGGCACCTGGTCCAAAAAATCAGGGCCTCACAGGAGATGTCTAATCAGGAGCCAGTCCTTCTTTGGACAGGATTTTTCAACCGGGCTGTTTACATGCTGATGGACCTAATGTATCCTAGTCACTTAACTAATCTCCCCACAATTGCCAGTTATTGGTCTTTTTTTTTTTAGCCCGGGTAACGAAAAATTCTTCAGAACCGTATTTCCGCAACTGCCATCGGGGTATTAATTTTTATCAAATGAGATGATCTTAAATGAGATTGACCCTTTTACTCCCGCAAGTGACCCATAATGAATTATCCCAGACCGTGTAAAATAACATGTCAAGCCCGAAGGTGATAAGAGCAAGGGATTATATCAATCAGGGATTGTTGCTTTATTGACCCCCCCCCCCAATTCTCACAGCTTAACCCTTTAACTTCCGGAAGTGATTAACCTGTAACTTCTCCCTTTAATTTCCATACATTATGCAGCAAACAGGTAATGAGAATACTCAAACTTATTAGGTAGAAGTTGTTACCCAGGACCGGGTTGTTCAACGGTTGGTTTTAGAAAACCCAGGGTTAGTGTAAAATTTGATTTCAGATCTGAAAGTTTTAAAAGAAAATTCACTTTAATTCCATTTTTCTACAATTTAATGATTGAATGCTCTAAAAAGAATTGAGAAAATTATCCCAAAACGGCCTTTCAACAGAGAAATATAGAAACCAGGATTAACATTTAACCCTGGGTTAGCGCTGATCGGCCTTCGAACAACTGGGCCCTGATCTAACACCAAATTCTCCTAACTAATTTACAAGGAAATGTGTAGCAGCTAGATGGGAGAATTGACAGTCAGATCTTGAGAGTCAAAGAGTCATATGTAAGGAATGTTTGGCAGCAATAAGAAGAAGTGATAACACTTAGTATTCTCTTTCCATGGGAGCCACTTTGCCCACACTGTTAAGCTTATCCAAGATTCCATAGTATCATGTGACTGCCCACACTGTTAAGCTTATCCAAGATTCCATAGTATCATGTGACTGGAGTATTGCTACTCGTCCCCTCCCCCCTTGTCTCAAAACGCTCCGCCTTTTCTATCTGCATTTTGCATTACGTTATTTTAGCTTAACACATATCCAACCATAGCTGGCCATTAAGGGAGAGCGTCATCTTTCCAGAATTTCTCCTCTCGCGGTGTCAGTATCTTCACATTCAAGATTACGCGCATCTGATTTGCTATTGGTGTGACACCTGTCAGTCATCATGGTATTTCTTATTGGGCCAATCGTATTTGGCTTTAGGCGAAAATCACAAGGCTTTAGGCTGCTTTCTGAAGGCTGCGAAGGGGATTGGTAAGCGCGCTGTAGTAGTTGTCACTTGCTGGGTGATCAAATTAGATGATGAAGTAATCGGGGAGTATGTTGTTCTTTACTTCGCTCTGTGATTGGGACAGAAAATTCACGCCATGCTATGTAAAACCAATCGGATGCAAAATTAAAACAAATACGCCATGGGCATTCGCGTATTCTTGCGAGTCAGTTCGCTTTTTACACTTTGACTTTTCTGAGGCTTCGAGTGATATTTTCCTTTGTTCTAAATTGCCGTTGTGACTACTTTCCTTTTTGTCAACCCTTTAACTCCAATGAATGACCAGGACAGAATTTCTCCTTACAATATCAATACAATATCAAGCAGACAAGTGATGAGAATAAAGAAACATATCAATTAGATGATTATTCGTTGATCCAATACCAGATTCCCCAAACCCACATCATAAGAATTGTATAGCAGACAGTAAAGAGAATTACTAATGAGATCCTTGGGAGTGAAAGCGCTCTATGTTTTGTAGCCTGTTTAGTAATAAATCCGCTCTTGTCATCACTGTTCACTCTAAGCTTTCCTGATGTTAGGTTCAATGGATGCCTTTGTGATGAAGGTTCTTCAGAGCAATTCCACTGATATTTCGACACTGCTTGTTCTATTTTACGTAAAGGTGAGGTAGTTTAACATTCACAGGCAAACAAGGCGAAGGTCTTCATAATGAAATTCAGGCGACTCCGAGGAACAGTTAGGGACACTCTACATAACGTTCAGACGGAAACGAAACGAAAGCCTATCTTCCCAGAGGGTTACAGTGGGAATTATATCTCAAGAAATGCCATTTTACTTGTTTTTTTAAAGTCATTTTCATCGCCAAACCAATCTGGCTGCTCACCTCCATTACAGTGCTTTCTTTTACTGAGAACATCTTATCGAGGTTTAGCTCGATACAGACGTCTCAGAAACAGACTTCAGGCAAGAGTCAACAAATAACTTCAGTAGAATTGACAAATCCCAAAAGCCAGGAGTAAGCACGTCTCTGTCTGTTTCCTCTTGTTCTATTGAGTGACTGTTGTTAATTTCTCTTTGTTCCGTGTAGGTGTTAAAGCTGTTTGAGCAGTTTGATGCTCCTGACTATGTCATCCGTGTGGCTCATCTAGCGCTGGACTTTGCCTCTCCTGATGATCCCAATATTGTGAGTGGATAAGATGATAGGGGAGGAGGAGTAGGGGGTGTAAAAGATGATAGGGGAGGAGGAGTAGGAGGTGTAAAAGATGATAGGGGAGGAGTAGGGGGTGTAAAAGATGATAGGGGAGGAGGAGTAGGGGGTGTAAAAGATGATAGGGGAGGAGGAGTAGGGGGTGTAAAAGATGATAGGGGAGGAGGAGTAGGGGGTGTAAAAGATGATATGGGAGGAGGAGTAAGGAGTGTAAAAGATGTAGTAAGGCTGAGGCAAGAGCGCCTAGCTCAAATTGTTTCGAAAGTTGCCTTTTAACGATTTTAAATTAGAAATTAATCGTGGCTAGCATTCAGTTTAGGAGCTTCACGCGCCATCTCAAGACTTGCTCCTGGAAAACCGAGAAAGGAGAAGTTAATTATTATATATGAAAAAAAAAAAAAAAAATTTGCGAATTTTTATCTCAGTTAAACTTCATACCACAAACACTAAGCGATAAAAACTGTAGGCTTGTCACATGACTGCCAAACACAGGATGCTCAATCGACGACAACATCTGTAAATTCAGTCGCCAAAGTTGTTTCTACTCGTTGTGGCGACCAAGACGGTCGTAGTTCTGAACCTGGGCCGGTGAGAGGTAAACGACAGTTCCTCGCAACTCCGACGTAGCCATTATTTAACGCCATTCAAGGTGTTGAATAGAACGCGCTCTGTGATTTGTCGTTTCTTATGGATTATCGGAGTATAGATGCAACACTGGCGTCCGGCGGAGTCGTTTACTCTCCGCTTCAAACATGGCGCCCTATTTTAAAAAAGGTGTCCGAGTTTTTCTCACGGAAGATTTAGCAAGGGAAGGCTTTATAAGAATAAACTTAAAGCTTTTAACTTACAAGAAAACGAAATCGCACAACAGGAAAAAATACCTCGAACAATGGAGCGCTATGAGGCCACTGACTGCAATTTTTGTTCCTTATTTTTTCCTTTTACTATACAAGTACGATATGGCAAAGTGGAATATCTTTGCTAATTATGTTATCTTCCCTGAATTATTCCAGCCTGATTTGTGGTCGAACATTTTTAAGCATCATTTGGAGTTACACCACAATGACTTGGCGTATGAAGCTCTAATCTCCAATCCTGACCCTGTTAGGTAAGTCATTTTACATTTCTTTTCTTTCCTATTTTTCTTTTCTTTTTTATTCCTTTATTTTCTTATTAAGTAGTCGTTCGCAGCTTTGGCTCTCGGTCTCTTACTGGGCCGCACTACCTCTTACTGCTTCTTACTGTGAACGTCGATTTCGGGCGCTATCGCCCGCTTTTAAACGCTCCCGTCCGATTTCGGACACTTGCTTTTGATTTCATACGCTGTCGTTCGATGTTATACGCTGCTCTCTGATTACAGCACTTCCTTCCTATTTTGAACTCCATCGTCTGTTATCAAACGCTTTCGTTCGTTTTAGTTGTGAGAATGTGGAATTTGATCATCTCACCTTTGCTGACTTTGTTTTTAGGCGGCGCGTATGCCTTCATAAGCTTATGGTAACACTGTGCGAGGGAGGAAAAACTCAACAGCTTATAGAATATCCATTTGTCAACCTTCAAGATGAGGTGAATGTAAACGTTATGATAAAAGACAAACCTGCGGGACAGGTGCGGGACAGGTGCGAGCGCAAGTGCGAAAAAAGTGCGGGGAAGGTTCGAGGAAAGTGCATAGGGTGTTCGCCTCACGCTTGCCTTTGCTCGCCTGAAGAACGCGAAAATTAACCCGGCATTCCTGCAGGCTTAGTGAGAGACCGGAAACTGCCCAAGGATTTCAGCTATTACTATTTTTTCGTTGTCGTATTCTTTACCAACTGAGCTCCAGAGAGCTCGTGTGAGAGCCAGGCGTTAAACTCGGTTTAAATGATGGTTTGGTCCGATCGTCCGGGTTAGAGTAGTCGTGGACTGTTATCGGTCGTAGTGACTTACGTTTCCACAGCCCTAGCGGAAAGCATCAACAGAGGAGTTGTTTGTCAGTCGAGTGTTACAAGTCTGGTTTGTTAAAACTGATAAGTTTTTTCCCTAATGTTTTTGGCTTAAAGACTCAACTGGCGTAACTCGGTCGTGATTTTTCATTTCGATCCATTGGTGAAGTTGGGTCCTTCTGTTGGGTTTGTTTGTTATGGTAATGTCGTGTAGAAGTTGTTAGTGTGGTGCCAGTAGTTGTTGACATTTGTTGAGAGGAAACTAGTATGATCCACGGTTCACATGTGATAAGAATTCTGAATTGTGTGGGGACCAATAAAGCATCCTACTTTGAGATAACTTTTCAATAACATATTTGTATTTTGCTCTGTTTTAGTTCATCGACATCGTCGAGTCTCATGCCCGTACAGTGGACATAACTACTCACAGTTATTACGATCTACTCTACGCTTTCCACGTGTTCAGAGGAAACTACAGAAAAGGTGACATCATCAAAAGTTATCAGAACAGCCAATCAGAACAAGGGAGGGTATTATGAAAATCCAATGAAAACTCAGCGAAATGAACGTTTCAAGCGCGGGAAAACGCGAGTGTTCAGTAGGCCATTTCCGAATTACGTTTGGCCTCTTTTTCAAAACGAGGCCTGGTGCTCAACCATACGTATGAAATTTGCATGTGAATGAAAACTTATTACCATACGAAAGGATGAGCACCAGGACTCGCTTTGAAAAAGAGGCTAAAGGCAATTCGGAAATGGGCTATTAGCAGTTCGTTAAGGACCTGATTAGTCAAAATTGTGGCGCGAGGGATTTTTTTTTTTTTTTGCATCAATTAGAAGGGGTAGTGAAGTTTAACTAATGTAGTCTGGGATTTCTGTCAAGACCCTGTTAAAAAATCCGCACCATACCTTACAGAGCTGTTAATTTTTGACGATGTTTGATTAATAAGAAGTAGGTGTAGTACAGGATCGTTTGTTGTCTTCCAAAGACGAGATGACGATATACACAAATTTACAGATAAATGAAACAAATACTAGGTGAAGTGAAAAGTTGTAATTACTTTGTGATATTTGTTTTCTAGCTGGGGCAGCAATGTATGAACATGCCTTGCGTCTGGGACTAGAAGTGTCAGGGCTTGACAGTCTGCAAAAACAGGTTTGTTTCTTTGATATTTTTGCTGCAAAGCTCACCAACGACCTGTTAGCTCAACTATCACTTTACAAGGAAAGAAAAACCTGAGTGTACATTGAAAATTCCTAAACGTACCACTATGCGGACAAACATCTGTTTCCAATGAATTTTCAGGCCAAATGTTATTTAGCAGCGATGAACTCACTCCGACTGGTGGAGCCGAAAAATGCCTGGATTGTAAAACCTTTGGACAGGATAGGCAGTGATGTAAGTTAAAATTTTTACTTAAAACAGTGCCACACATCTCTTTGAATTACCGCTCAGTAGCTTTTATTCAACTGCTCACTCTGGGATATCATGGAGTTAAAACCAGTCTGTACTGGACTACATTGGTCTTTAGTTTTCATTTGAATGGTCATTCACTAGGGTTTCATCCACAGACTTAAAAGTTACAACACCCACTTAGAGAAAAACAGAATAATCGGTTTCGTCTGTTACCAATAGAGCCATTGCTCTTGTTTTTTAGAAATCAGCAGAGCCGCCCAACATGTCTCCAAAACGAAAGCAAGGAGAAGAAGGAGACATACTCTACCCAGGTCATTTTGCTAGGCCTCGGCGTAAAGTGACCGTACTGGAGATCAAGGACCTGGAGGGAGAGTACCTATTGGTTCTCGCAAGGCTACAGCTCATAAAAATGGACGCGGATCCAACACGTGCAACAGGTTTGATGCGTCAGGCACTCTGTTCTTATCTCTAATTGGTGTAGAGCTGTTACCATGGCAATTATTTGACTTAATTCTTTTTTTCTGCTTGGTCTCAGGCCCTCAGTTGTCACCTCAGGAGAGTGTAGCGTTGTTAACTCAAGCAGGCCTGTTTGACAATGCCTTCACTGTAGCTTTCCACTTCAACCTACCCAAAGAAACGATCTTCGAAGGACTTGCCTCAAGGTAGATAAGCAGTCTTCATTTAAGTTGTGTCAAAGAAGAGTCTTCCCCATAGTTTGTTATCATCTCGATAATGGGCGAGAGCTCAACGCGAGATAGACTGGGACGAGACACTGGGACGAGACAGACTGGGAAGAGACAGACTACGAGACGGCGAGTACCACAATGGTCTCGACCCAATCTCGTCTCGTTCAAATGTCAGATCTACATTTTCTTTCCCTCCTCGCTCGTTGGACGTTTCGAAGAAAAAAGAAAACGGACACCAGTGATCCGGGCAGGCTTCCAAAATGACCACTTACCTAATACTTACCACCCAAGGGACGTTTCCTGGCTGTCTCCGCTTTTTATTCTTGACTATTTTTAGAACATTCTGAAATCGAACATTTTCACTTTTCATATCACTTAGTTTTTATTGATATGTGTATATATATGATTTATTTTACTCTCTTTTATTTTTTGTTATACAAGGCCCCCGTTGATACCAGTCCTGTGGCTGGAGGGGTCACCCTGTTTCAATATCGATTGTTATTATTATTACTATTATTATTATTATTATTTGGATTCTCTTTCAAATCGATCTCTATTTCTTTGTAAACATCTCTGCACGTTTAACTTGTAACGTGACTTTTCTGTATAGGTGTGTCAAGTTATCCACCCAAGGCCATGGTTTAACACGGTGAGGAAATGACTACAGTAATGCGAATTCACACCAAGATGGAACAACAACGAAAAAAAAGGCAATTAAATGGGTGCCTTTCGGTTTTTACAATTCTCCAAATTTTCGCTTAGAGTTCAGCTAAGACGATATCAGTCGTCACGTCGTCAATCCACACTTTAAAAACTACTCGCTGATATAATTATTTTTCATCCTCACAGAAAAACCGAAGAGGACGCGTGGGACTGGCTCCTATCAAATGACCTCGGCGAGGCCCAGGTCTCCAGTTACAAAAGGTACCGCGTCAATTTACTGGTGTCCAGACCTTTGTTTTGTATCGCGTGTTTAATATTTCTTGCCTTTTGGACTGTTTGAAATAAACAATTTTTTAAGGTTATTCTTTTCGTGATTTTTTTTTTTTTTTTTTTTTTTTTTTTTTTGGAGTGTTGTCGACCAGGCCTGGCAGTTGTTAAAGTTGTACCTCGACAAGCTTGGTCCACGTGATGGTCACGTGTATTACAGATGTGTGACCAGTAAACTGCTGTCAGCTGGCGCTACTCTGCCCACGTGGCTTGTGAATGATTATAAGGTGAGAGGCGGACTAGACCGCATCACATGACTTAACGAGCTCAACGAAAGGGGTCAGAAGCCGCAAGAATCTGTAAGCGTTTATGTGAATGTTTGACTCGAGAAATGCGGAAAACCCTAATAAAGTTTTTTTCAGTTGCGCCATGTAACCCAACTTGGTAAGAACTTACAATTTCAGGCGGTAAAAGGAGATGTAAACGGATTTCATTGTGGCTAACAGAGCAAACATCGGCCTGACTATTTTTTAAGATCGTCTAGCCTACGTGTAGCCCCTTGGGAGGGGGGGGGAGGGTACGGCTACACGTTGGCTAAAGATTGGCCAAATTTATCCGAAAAGTCATCGGTAATACTCGGAGAAAAACTCCCCAGTTTGTCTTTTGATTTTGATTTTACCGATTAGACACTGTTGCGCTGTCAATCTGTGTTTCAGTCTTCAGGCGGCGGAAACTAAATCGATGTGATCTAGCTCTGTGTAATTCGCGGGAACTTCTGGCAAGTGGGTCGCAAAATTTCGTGAAGTCGTCTGATTTAGACAAACCTTCTAGATGAGTCCATCCTATATCAGGAGTGAGTAGTCATTGTTTTTCAATTTTTCAAAATGTTTTTATTCCAGCGCTTTAATGCCTCTGAACTGCTACGTATGTACATCAACTATGATCTTCTATTGGAGGCAGTCATGTTTGCTGTTGAGTATATCCAAGCTGTTCTTGGAAATGGCAAGGAGTACTTTGGAATGACGGTGAGTCGACCCGTGAGCTGTGCGCTTTGTAATTTTTTCTTTTGCTTGTCAAGTCTGTTTCCTTTTTACTCTGTTTTATTCCGTGCCGTTTGCCAACACGCTTCGTTTATTTGACTAACTGAGCGATTGGAATAGGCCACTTTATGGAGGTTCCATTGTATAACCTTTATATCTGTTAGCTTCGTTGATGGGACACAGCTATTCCGGCTAGGGACGATTTTTCAAGTCCTGAGGGTTTACTTTGGATGGACTTTCCACTGTATTAATACAGAAATGTTTATTTCTAGGATGCCTTACACGGCACCAGTCCCAGTGTGTGGTTGCCGTACGTTTCTCTGGATCAACTGCTGGCTCTGCTTAAAGACGTGCAACCTGGTACCGAGCTGGCTAAGGTAAGGTTCCTTAACTCTTTGACTCCCAAGAGTGACTAGCATCTAATTTCTCCTTACAATATCACCCCTGAATCACACATTAAGGTCAGGAGAATAAAGGAAACGATCATCATCTAAAGAAGCTCTTGATTGTTCAACAAATTCTCCTTGCCAGCACCTTAGGAAATGTATAGAGAACAGTATGGAGAATATGCATATTGAGGTTAGGGTGTTAAGGGTGAAGAGCGTTGTTTGGTTGAGTCCTGCACAAACAAAAGAAGAGCACTTACAAACTGGACTTTCAGAGTGAAGGAAATCATCACGTGGGTTAAGTTCAACATCTGATTAGCTAAGAGAGTGGGACGCGTTTTCCAGTTTAACAACTAATTGGCTAAGAGGTGGGACACGTTTTCCAGAACAGTCCAGAATGAAGAAGTGAAAAACCAATGCTTTCCCGTACAACTTTCAACACTCGTGTGAAAATTGTCTTCATTTATCTGTGGGGTTCGTCTGGTGAAATCATGCCTCTTTGCTCGAGAATCATGGCGAATTATTCCTTTATTGATTACAGGGACGTGATGAACTCAAAGAACAACTTCATGAATTTCACGAGAAAGTGATATCAGTGTCACGTGATCTGGTGTCTGTACAATTAAAGCGTGCTCAGCGGATGCACGCAGCAGAGTCCATTCCAATACGGTGATGACATCATGCGCCTGGATAGAGACGTTGTCTTGCGTACAAGAGACCGAAAGCGCTTTCTGATTTGCAAAGGAAAGAGAAAACTCATTGAAACCGTTACAAAGTCGATCCGGATCAAGTTGGAAGGCCCTGTTAACTTCCATTCTTTTCTTGATCGAATGTTTGTCGGAGAATTTTCTAAGTGAGGTAATTCAGTGCCCAGTAGACACGCTAGCAAATGCCAAGTCTGAATGCGTTGCTTAGCAATAGGACATATCCAAACGGGCTTCAACAGTTTCCTTAATAAGATTCAGAGTCGTAATAATACAAACATTTCATGGATTTGTTACAAGAGACTATGATCTGAGAGACCTGATCCCATATACATGTCCCTCACTTCCAGTGATGTTTTCTAAATTGAATTTTCGCACCCGGTCATATTGCGTGGTTATTTAATGGATGACGCTACTCAGCTCATTTTCTCTTGATTCGTAAGGTTCTAATCTTAGTTATAGTAGCAGAAATATAATGCTTTGGCTGTCGCCAAGATCCCAGTGCCTAGAAACATAGTACGTGAAGAGGAGCTATATTAGCACTCCAGCCCCGACGTTGACCAAAGCTGAAATCCTCTTTACGTTTGCTAATGATTGTTATGCAGACAAGTGGCAAGAAGAAAAGAAAATAACCAATTAGAAGATCTTGTATTGTTTACACTCAGTTTTTTGTAGTTTGATAGAAATGTTTGGATTTGGCTTATCAAACATGTGTGCAAGTGTGGCGTTATATCAACCAAGGACTTCTGTAAATAACCGTTTGTATTAAATGCTGTTTTGAAAAAAATAGACGCAAAAGCATCTATTTTATTATGCCATTCAAAGAGTCATTCAAAGGAGGAAGTAAATGGTGTCATTAAAAATAGAAACAAATGAAAAATTTATTCGTAGTGTATTTATTGGGAAGCAGAGGAAGATGCCTGTCTTTCCCTTACCCCACCCCCCCACCCCTTTTCCATTGTCTCTGTGCGTTGGCCTGGTGCCTACCCCGGCCAGGATCATACAAGTCTCTCCTTGTGTGAAGCACTTTACTCATGATGCCTCTCGTCTTTCCCACCCACCCCCCACCCTCCTAGCAGTGTAAATGGACAACCTGCAAACTGTCATGAAAACCAGATAAAAGACTGGGAGAATGTAAGCAAGGACTCCTCCGTCCCGTCTCCGCCCCCCCCCACCCCTCCTTCAACCTTTCACCTGAATTTAACTCGCTCAAAGAGAGGCGTAGGGTTTTCTTTGAAGGCAGGAGGGGTGGGGGAGAGGAGAGGACGAAGAGGAGGCGCTTCCCCTCGAATATACCAAGCAGATGTAAAATACGGATAGCAGCTGAGTACTACATGAAGTAAGTACTAAAAGTTGAGATGTAAACACAAGAAAGATTTAGAAATACACGTAAGGCGGACGGCGAGAAGTGTGCATTTGATGCCTCCCTTGTAGCCGTGTTCTCCCTAATGAGGAAATTTCTGCATTTCTTGTTAGTACTTGAAAAAATAGGGTAAATTTTGCCGTTTGTAGCTCTAGATGTAGATATTTGGGGGCTTAAGAAACCACGACGGCGACGCAAAAGAAGACTTCGATTAAAAAATGAATTTCTACTCTTAGTTAGAATTTCAAAAATGGCTGCAGGAGCTTACTGTCTCATAGAGCGCCACAGCTCGACTTCAGCATGACGTATAAAGTAGCCGTTGAGTTCCAAATGGAAATTAAAATAATTTGCCGTCGCGGTTTCGGTTCTCAGACGACGCAAATTTTGGCGATTTCACGTTGTTGTGTTGCATAGGACGGCTAAGAAATGTACAAAGTTTCAAAACGCACGTGCTGAGCTATTGTTCTGCCAATTAGATCTCTTGTTTTTCCACGTCCTCGTTGCCGTCGCCGTCGTGGTTTCTTAAGGTCCCTATTTCCGCCTGGTTGAATCTAACTGCTCCCAAGGAGAGAAAATCTATGAAAAGGACATGCTGTATTACAGAGTTTTTTTTTTTTTTTGATAGTTTTAAAAACGAGAAAAGATTGGATCCTGTTCAAAATATTGGGCGTCTGCTTTCATTTTTTGTAACGTGTCATGACAGTGTATTTGTTGTTTTTTTGGGCGGAGAGGAAATTCTTTTTATGGTACCACATATATTTCTAAACGCCAATTTTAGAATTTTTGGAAAAATAGAATTCCTTGCCGTCATCTCTGATAAGCGGCTTTCGAAAACGAAACTCTGGCTAGAAATAGATCTCCGTTACTGAGAGAAAGCTGTAGTGACGTCAAACAGATGGGTTCATGTAAAAATTAAACTGCTTTCAATGAATTTCGATTTAAAGGTCATGCAACAGCGCATTAAGTTTTTGAGCTGTTATTTTCATCATGTTTATTGCAGTGAGGACAATTACTTTTTCATACGCAGCAGAAGCCTCTAGAACGAGATATTGAATAATTTGACGAGTAAGTTCATTGAGTTTGTCGATTGAATCCAATATCCTCCATTTAGGAGTCCTTACCAATATATTTGGACACGTGCCAGTGACGTCACTGATAGATGATTTTATAAACCTTGATCGATAATTTGTTCGGTAGACAGCGGACTAGCAAGAGAATTTTCATGGCGGAAGATACAAGGCATTTCACAGACATCAAAGATATTCGGCCCGGCATAAAAAACTTACACTGTTTATTCATAGTTTTGGAAGTCGGTAAGCCTTCCCCGTGGTCTCACACGCTCCCTGTTTGATCTGATCGCTAAAATTTTCGGCCGTTTCTTGTAGGAAAAGCCACCAAAACGAAGGATGCGCACGTTGTAAGGGCATGTCGAGTAGCTGATAAAACAGGCTCCATTACGGTGTCTGTTTGGGACGAAGTCGGAGAAATTCTACAACCAGGAGATATCATTAAGTTTGTTCGAGGGTAAGAAAGGCTCTGTTCGCCTTGTTGTGTGGTCATTTAGCGCGAATGGCGTTCAAATTCCAGTCGATTTTACCAGGGTTTCATGTTCAAACGTAATCGTGCATAAATTAGTCGAACGGAAATGTCGACTGTCTGTTTCCGTGAGGCCAACTGGCTGCGTAGATGAAGAACAGCTTTGCTTTCAGCTGAGAAATTTTCCGCTTTTTAAAACCGTATTCCCCAAATACCAATGTTATGTTGGAAAGTGAAATTTGTAAGGGGAAGACTTTTGTTACAGGGGAGGGGAGGGTATTACGAACTGGCTTCAGAAGAGCTGTCGATCAAGGATGTACTGCGACAATTATATCAAAACCCAAAGTATTACAGCGTGAAGGTAATACTTATTTAATTCTCGGCATGGGGTTGAACTAGATTTCAATTTTGTCATGCAAAGATTTTCTCTCTTAAAAGTGTTATTTCTTGCAAGTAAATGTTACAGAAATAATCCACTTTGAACATGACGGAAAATTTATCTTAATGTTGTAAAAACCGTAGAATTTTTTTGGTAATATGGGAACGACTGCTTCTAAATAAATTATCCTTACTTCTCTACTTGCCCTAAGCCACAGTAATTCCCAACACTAAAGGACACTATTTAGTTCGATATTATTCACAGAAAGAGCATTTATTAAAAAAAAAATTCTTCTCTAATTGTGGCCTTCATCTCAATGGTCGTGCTTGGAATGAATCAAAACTAAAAAACAAAATATGCTTAAGAGTAGTTACGAATGAACCAAGCTACCATTTTCTGGCCTCGAGTTTGAATGCCTGGCTTTCCCCATAAGCATGGGTTAATACAATCAGAACAAGACATGAAGTAGAAGGTGTGAACAGTAGACTAACCGAAATAGCAATGTAATTGTGTCACTGACATTATCCTTGTTTTCTAGGTATTCATCATTATGGAAAGGAAGCTTAACTTTGTACACAGGCAAAGTGGGACACTTGGAGAAAGTTGGAGAGTAAGTGCAGATGTGTAGCTTTGATTACATGATTGAGTTGACTCAATTTTTGCATTTTTTTCCAACTCTTGTTGGATATTTATTTTAAAATGCAGATATTCAAACCCACCTTCTCGTGGGTAGAAACATCTTTTTTGGGAGGTAATTTCTATCCTCCTGTTTTCACTTAATCTTCTCACAGCTTTTCTTACTCTCCACCAAGGGAGATGTGTTCTCTATCCCAGTAATGTGTCAATTGAAGCTGGTACCTTCCTGGGCATTTGAACATTTAAAGATTGGTTCATTCAAATTTCTGCTGCTCAGGTCAAAACTGCAGTCAAATGCCCGACGCAATATCGAACGATTCTATATGTGATCAATAAATGTTGTAAAAATTTAGCACAGTCACATATTGGTTTTTGGTGCTGCTGTTAAGTTTTTTGCACGTACGCATCATTCTACAATGCAGACACTATCCTTCTAAGCCATTTGCTTACAAAAGCAGATTCTTTACCTCAAAACTCTTCTTTTAAAATGTGTGTATGATGCTGCACAGACTTGACACTTCTGGTTTAGATGCCTCATCCCTCCCAGGAAAGGTTCGAATTTCCCATCCCTTGGGCATGGATGAGAGTCAAATACCTGTGGGTGCCTGTTTTTTTTTTTGAAGCTACTATGTCAAAGTAATGTACTGACACATGTGCATTATAGCATAACTGTTTCCTTTTTTTGTTGTTTTCATTCAGTTTCTGCATGACTTTTTGTGAGCAGCCAAACATGAGTGATCCTAATGCAGAATTTCTTCAGCAGTATAAACAGGTATCTTATCTTTAGAGCCATATTCAAGTAGATATCAATTGTGATCTTGAATTTCTTTGGGTTGCTATTATTTTACAGTGTGGTTGTTCATGAAAACTTGTAACAATCTCACAACCAATCAGATGCTAAAATAAAACCAATCACAAATTTTTTAGTTTGTTTTTACATTTTTATTTGACATAGGGTTGACATTTGATATGTTAGGGGTGTAGCGTGAGATTTTGAAGGTGTATGCACAACGTAGAAATTAGGATCACCAAAGGCGCCCCAAAGTAGGAGTGTCTGGGGGCATGCTCCCCCAGAAAATTTTGAAATTTAGGGTCTCGGAAATGCCATCTCCAACTACTTCCCAAGGAACTTTTTTTATAAATAAATGCAACGGAAAATGCAGGAGTTAGTTGTACATTTCACCCATCTCTAGAGTTCTTGGTAACCTACAACAAAAAAAGGGGCTAAAAGAGGTACTAGAAAAACAAACACACAAACCAGTATAATACGAAATTTGAAATTCAAAAATTGGTCCTATTTTATGGTAACTGTGACAAATGTTACAAGGGAATATTATAAAATTTTATATCTAGATTTCAGCTTTACACACGGGTGTATGTGTGTATATGGACACCCCATGACATCCGTTTTAGAAACTCGTTACACTGGCTAATTTACATTATCATCTCAGTTGATAAAACCAAGTTATCGCGTAATACCCACAAGCAACACAGCACCACAGTTTCTTTCGAAACTTACTTCCTTTATCCAGTTTTTTTACGCTCTTGTTTTGTGGCATTTTAGGCAGTTTCCTTGTTTTTACCTTAACCCATTAACTCCTAGGAATGATCAAGACAGAATTTCTCTTTACAATATCAATAAAATATCAAGCAAACAAGTAACAAGAAATAAGAATTATGTCAAATGAGGGATTCTTAGGTGATCTAAGACTAAATTCTCCAAACTAACATCATAAGAATTGTATGGCAGACAGTAAGAAGAATTACTGATGAGATCATGTATGTTAAAGGGTTAATTATGTTGGTCACCAAGTGATGTTTCTTTTTGGTCTGATTTGCTTTTGTATTTAATTTTAATTAGTTAACGTTTTTAATCCACTCAGTTAAAAACAGCTCTTTTTTATTGTTACTGAAAGAAAGGGAAGGGAGGTCTGTCTTTTTGGTTATTGTTAAATCTTCTGTAAACAAATAAAATAATGAATAAGAGTCTTTATTCAGTATCCATATTCAGATAGTCACAACATACGTGTGACTTTACAAACACGACAAAACAATCTCATCAATTAATTTAAGATCAAGTACAATCAAATAAAATTAAAAAGGCACCTATTAATAAAGGATCTCTTAAAGGTTTATTTTTTTTCTTTGTTCACAAAAAAAAAAAGAAAAAAACTCCGAACTTCAATTTACAGGGGTAAGAGGGCCAAGTGTATTCCAAATTGGTCTGGAATCATACAAATGATCAGCAAAATTGGATGATTGCAAAGTTGGAGACTGATTTGTTAATCTTGAATGTGATTACAAGCAGAATTGGATGATTGAAAATCCTGTTACTAGAAAATCAAAACTATGAAAAAAATATCAGAAGCAAAATACCTACTGTTTGAGACCTACTGTACCAAACCTACCCATAGGTGTTCAGTGTTGATTGGCAATCATTTCATTTATTTTCATCACCGAAATGTTTGATTCAGCAGTGAAGCTGTAAGGAGGAACTAAATGCTAGTCAATCTAAGGATTGAAACATTAAACCCAGAATCAGTTGGAAAACAGCCAGTTTGTTGATGGGACATTGCTCAAATTCAACACCCAGATGCACTCACTCATTTTCACCTCTTTCTCTTTCCAGGGGCTCCAAGGTGACCAAGGAAGAAATTCTCCTAATACTCCAACCACAACTGCTGGATTGTCATCTGTGGTGTCACGGAATCAAAACCATAACACAGAACATTCACCAACAGTGACATCACATAACAACCATCATCCTCACATGGGACCCAACACTGGTTCTCACAGATTCCACCCATACAGTAGGCCAGATGGGAACATAGCTGCCAAAGTAGATGCGTCGCGTGATCCAAGGTTAAAACTGCGGGGGAACAATAATGGCAATAATGGGAATGGTGCAAACTTCATTTCATCATCCACAAACGGGAATAATGGACACCCTAACGCTGACCCAAGTGCTCGCAATGTAATTAACACTAGTAGAGATCCACGGACTCGTAGATAACATAGTTAGACCTGGTAAATACAGTATGATATATTTCTTGCTCTAGTAACTAGTAGTAAGATTTATAACCTTTTGTATTTTGTACAAAAGTCCAAATACAATGTAGTGAATTAAAATTTCTTTTTATTAAAATGCAGAATTTTGTGTGGTTACATGGAGTGCTGATCCTATGGTGCAAACATTAATAATGTTTCTATATCCATTTGCAATTATCCTAATCAGAAGTTAATCTTGACCTTTAAATCCCAGAAGCAATTAACATTTAACTTATCCCCATAATATCCTTACACAATCCAGCTAACGGGTGTTGAGAATAACCAGGTAGAAGTTGTGTTTTATCTTACATCAAATTCTCATAACATGGAAGTGTGTAACAGCTAGAAGGAAGAGTTAGCAATCAGATCTTGGGAGTTTTCATTTTAAAAGGGTTAACCTCAGTGCAAACTCCTGGGATTTAATTACGGACTCTATGATAATATAAGGGAGAAAAAATCACCTTGTTTCTTTCCCCCTGCTATTTTTAACGCCTTATAAATGCTCCAAGAATTCTTCGTTTTCAGTCTGTGATATAAACTCATGAATGTTAAGACAATTTAAAATTTTAAGTGAACTTTTGGAGACCACAAGCTAACCGTAATTTTCTAGTTCGTGAACAAAATCACATTGTTTCAATATTCAAAGAGGATTTTCTCGGCCTTCAAAGGGCTTTGACACTCGCACACAATACAGAGCTGATCATAGTAACTATGAGCTGATCAAATTCTCTCTAACGCGTTATAAATTACAAAAAAGCTGTATCTTTGAAATTTGCAAACAATACGCAGCTAATCACGCTCTTTCTAACAAGCCATAAATTGTCCAGGAATTCCCCTTTTTCGCAGAGATACAAACGCATGAGAAAAATTCTTTTGTTTTTATATTCAGAGAAGAGTTTTCGGCCCACAAAAGAGCTGTAGCCTTGACACTTCCACACAATACACAGCTAATCACGGTTTTTCTTAACGAACCATTAATTGTCCAGGTATTCCCCTTTTTCCAGTTAAAAGCTCGTTTTAGCTCAACAACCAACTTCTATTCCTTTAATATTCTTGCGTTTATATCTATGCGAAGAAGGGGAATTTCTGGACAATTTATAGCTCCTTAGAAAGAGCGTGATTAGATGTGTATTGTGTGCAAGTGTCAAAGCTTCAGCTCTTTTGTGGGCCGAGAAAATCCTTTCTGAATATCACAACAATAGCATTTTGCTGCTGGTTCTTCCAGACGAACCAAAAGCTCATTAACGAATTTTTATTGTTTTAATATTCAGAGAGCAGTTTCTCGGCCTACAAAAGAGCTGTAGCTTTGACACTTGCACACAATACACAGCTTATCACACTCTTTCTCATGAGCTGTAAATTGTCCAGGAATTTATTAATATGCGTCTATATCTCTACGAAACCCCTCTTAATAGAAGAACAATAGCATTTTGCTGCTGGTTCTTCCAGATGAACTAAAAGCTCATTAACGAATTTCTATTGTTTATATCTCTGAGTAAAAGGAAAATCCCTGGACAATTTATAGCTCGTTAGAAAGAGTGTGATTAGCTGTGTATTATGTGCAAGTAACAAATCTACAGCTCTTTTGTGGGCCGAAAAACTCCTCTCTGAATATAAAAACAATAACATTTTGCTGCTGTTTCTTCCAGACGAACCAAAAGCTCATTAACGAATTTCTATTGTTTCAATATTCAGAGAGGCGTTTCTCGGTCCACAAAAGAGCTGTAGCTTTGACTCTTGCACACAATACACAGCTTACCACACTCTTTCTAACAAGCTGTAAATTGTCCAGGAGTTCATTAATATGCGTCTATATCTCTACAAATCCTCTCTGACTAAAAAACAATAGTATTTTGCTGCCGATTCTTCCAGATGAACTAAAAGCTCATTAACGAATTTCCATTGTTTATATCTCTGCGCAATAGGGGAATTCCTGGACAATTTATAGCTCGTTAGAAAGACTATGATTAGCTGTGTATTGTGTGCCAGTATCAAAGCTTCAACTCTTTTGTGGGCCAAGAATATCCTCCCTAAACATCAAAACAATAGCATTTTGCTGCTGTTTCTTCCAGACGAACCAAAAGCTCATTAACGAATTTCTATTGTTTCAATATTCAGAGAGGAGTTTCTCGGTCCACAAAAGAGCTGTAGCTTTGACACTTGCATACAACACGCAGCTTATCACACTCTGTCTAACGAGCTATAAATTGTCCAGGAATTCATTAATATGCGTCTATACCTCTACGAATCCTTTCTGACCAGCAAAGCTATAGCATTTTCCTGCTGGTTCTACCAGATAAACCAAAAGCTCATTAACGAATTTTATTGTTTTAATATTCAGAGAGGATTTTCTCGGCCCACAAAAGAGCAGTGGCTTTGACACATGCACACAATACACAGCTAATCCCACTCTCTCTAACGAGCTATAAATTGTCCAGGAATACCCCTTTTGCGCAGAGATATAAACAATAGAAATTTGTTAATGAGCTTTTAGTTCATCTGGAAAAACCAGTGGCAAAATACTTTTGCTTTTCTATTCAGAGAGGATTCGTAGAGATATATACGCATATAAAAGAATTCCTGGACAATTTAGAGCTCGTTAGAAAGAGTGTGATAAGCTGTGTATTGCGTGCAATTTTTAAAGCTACAGCTCTTTTGTAGGCCGAGAAACTCCTCTCTGAATATTGAAACAATAGAAATTCGTTAATGAGCTTTTGGTTCGTCTGGAAGAACCAGCAGCAAAATGCTATTGTTTTGATATTCAGAGAGGATTTTCTCGGCCCACAAAAAAGTTGTAGCTTTGACACTTGCACACAATACATAGCTAATCACAGTCTTTCTAACGAGCTATAAATTGTCCAGGAATTTGTCTTTTGCGCAGAGATATAAACAATAGAAATTCGTTAATGAGCTTTTAGTTCATATGGAAGAACCAGCAGCAAAATGCTATTGTTCTTCTATTCAGAGAGGTTTCGTAGAGATATAGACGCATATTAATGAATTCCTGGACAATTTACAGCTTGTTAGAAAGAGTGTGATAAGCTGTGTATTGTGTGCAAGTATCAAAGCTATAGCTCTTATGTGAGCCAAGAAACTCGTCTCTGAATATTGAAACAATAGAAACTCGTTAATGAGCTTTTGGTTCGTCTGGAAGAACTAGCAGCAAAATGCTATTGTTGTGATATTCAGAGAGGATTTTCTCGGCCCACAAAAGAGTTGTAACTTTGACACTTGCACACAATACACAACTAATCACGCTCTTTCTAATGAGCTCTAAATTCTCCAGGAATTCCCCTTTTCGAATAGATATAAACGCATGAGCAAAATTCTATTGTTTGTAATATTCAGAGAAATTTTTCTCGGCCCACAAAAGAGCTGTAGCTTTGACCCTTGCACATAATGCACAGCTAACGCTCTTTGTAACGAGCTAGGAGCTGTCCAAGAATTCCCGGATTTTTTGAGTTGAAAGTTCGTTTTAGCTAGTGGTTCTTCCCGTTTAACCAAAAGCTCATTAACCAATTTCCATCGCTTCAATATTCATGCGTTTACATCTTTGCAAAGAAGGGGAATTCCTAGACAAATTATAGCTCATTAGGAAGAGCGCGATTAGCTATGTACTGCATTTGTGGAAGTGTCAGAGCAACAGCCATTTTGTGAGCCAAGAAATCTTCTCTTTATATCAAACAATAGAAATTCGTCATTGAGCTGTTGGCTAAACTGGAAGAACCACCAGCAAAAATGAGCTTTCAACTTGTATAAGGAGAATTCCTGGACAATTTATAGCTCGTTAAAAAGAGCGTGATTAGCTTGTGTATTGAGTGCAAGTGTCAAAGCTACAGTTTTTTTGTGGGTTGAGTAAATCCTCTCTGAATATTAAAACAATAGTATTTTGTTCATGGGTCTGTCTTTGCAAAGAAGGGGAGTTCTTGGACAATTTATAGCTCGTTAGCTGTGGATTGTTTGCAAGTGTCAAAGCTACAGCTCTTTTGTGGGCCGAGAAAATTCTCTCTGTATATTAAAACAAAAGAAATTCGTCAATGAGCTTTTGATTAATCTGGAAAACCAACAATTAAAACGAGCTTTCAACTTCAAAAAGGGGAATTCTTGTCGCTCGTTAAAAGAGCGTGATTAGCTGTGTATTGTGTGCAAGTGTCCAAACGAGCTTTTTGACGGAAATATAGAAGCATGGGGAGCTATACGGGCCATTTAGCTTACCGTAACTCTAATTATTTGCTCATTATCAAGGGGTTAGGTTTCAATTGGGACGAAAGTCCTGTTCCTCTCCCCTGCCACTCCACTTTATTTTTCCTTTTCTTGTAACGGTGTAAGTTGTTTATTTGTCGAACCGTGGCGAATAAATTAAATTAAATTAAAAAAATTAAAATTAAATTAAATCCAAGAATTCCGTAAGGAAGTTGGCAAGTATTAGTGGGTTGATTTTATTTGATTGCGCAAATTTTGTCGATGTAAGAGAATAGAAAAACCACTCAATAAGACTAAAATTGTATAAAAATAAATGTATTGTTTTCAGCTTTGTTTGAAATTTTGTCATAATTTACAGGTATACACAGAGATACTACATTCAAGAATATTTTAGACGCATAATTGAATTGTTCACTAAGTGAAATTTTGTATTTAAATTGAGTTGAAAATGACGATTGATGTCCACTAAGGTTGATGCCAGCAACAAGTATAAAGTATGGGATTGCATGCGAGGTTACGACGGAATCGTGTTTACTTATTTCCAGACATTTTCCATTATTCTACATCGTTTTGTAATTCAACGTGATTACATAAAACCATCTAATTGCACAAACAGCCAAGAGGAATTTAAAGTCAAAAGTAATCAGATATTGCATTAGTTTTGCTCTAATCGGCTTTCTGATTGGCTACAAAAACGCGTCAGATAACTCCTTGTGATTGTTACCAATGCTCTGATTGGCTACAGTGATTAGATTGGTTTTACGTTATTCAGTTGAGACGTGCTCTGACTGTATTGTAAGAGTCAACTTACCCGAGTCTCAGTATGGGATTAACATTGTACAACTGAAAAATATTTAGTCCTGTCTCTATAACTTATTCGAAAACAAATCAAAGCATCCAGTGCTTTCGAGGGGAATATTTAACGACAGGAAGAATTCTCATATTCCTCCCTTAAACGTAAATGACAAATTTACCGTTTACGATGAAATAAATTCCCGTCACAATAGTCCTTTTTACAGTTGTGGGCTTGGTGGCCAAGCCTTTAAACAGGAGTGAGGCTAAGGGTGACCTTGTTATGATAGAGATGTTCTTGCTTTTCAAATGCAAATTTCTTTGTTATCATGCTAAGTAGATACAGGTCTCTATCACAACAGGGTCACCCTTAGCCTCACTCCTGTTCAAAGGCTTGGCCACCAAGCCCACGACTGTAAAAGGGACTATTGGGAAATTTCGCTTTCTTCCGGTCTGGTTCACTTGTGATTCACTGGGATAGGTATCGTAGTAAAAATTTTACACTGGAAAAAGTAACTCTCTCCTATTTCATTTCATAATGCTCCTTTTACAATGTACATGTAAAGGAATTGAAATTGTCCCTATCAGAATTGAAAAAAAAATAGTTTCCTTGGAAAAAATGTTGCTAAACAACACTGAATTCTCAATTTAGTTTAGAAATAAAAGATATTTCGGGAGGGAGCATTAAGACGAGGACTTGTGAAATACTACCCAACTACTTTTTCAAGTTCAGCTTCCTGAAGGCTGTAAATACTACATTTAACTACTATCTAAATCAGTTCCTAGCTTATTCAGTATGGAGATCGGCAAAAAGCTACATCAATTTCGCTGAATTTAAAATTGGAAATGACATTCTCGAGGGACGCGACAAAACGCAAGTCACATGATATCACCTGATATACATAATGTCACGAGGCTTTTACACCTTACTATCTTTGAAACAACCGTGAGACATGACGTGTAGTCACGTGACAGTAGGTGGAGCTACACCAATTACGATGAGTTTACCATCTTGAAGACAAACAAGAATGTGCGTGTTGTCCCTTGCCATGGAGACGTTACGGATTGGTACTAAAAGCTTCATTTTCTCCACCACTTGAAAACTGCAAGCACAGAGGAATCGTTCGTAAAAATAAGAAATAAAATACTTAAACAGCTGTATCCAGGCAAGGATACCAACGGAAAACACAAACTATATTTCGTCTTTCATTCTCTATGTTGTACTGTTCAACCATATTTATTGTACGTATATTGTGGTTTATTTTAAATATTGTAGTGTAAACGTTTCATCCTAAGTAATGTATTGTTTCAAGGCAGGGCTCCTGTTCAAGGTTAACATCTGAGTTCTAAGCTTTATCATAAAATGTTATTGAAAAATCATAAATTAAAACAAATACATAATTAAAAAAAACAAAGCACATTATTGGACGATATTCCACGTTATTATCCTGCGTTGGGTTGAGGGGGTATATTTGAAAATCGTCTGATCGTTAAAGGAAGATTTTTCGTATATTCTAAATGGTCTCCGCAGTTACCGATTATGGTTCAAAAAAGATTGAGAGGCGATAAGATTCTATAAGAAATCCAAATTCAAATATTTAAGATAATATACTAACGGTAGAAGAGAGATGAGTCTGTATCTATGCAATTTGAGTACAAATTTACAAGGTTCCCTGCGATTGCAATAACTTAGAAAGGAATGTAGTCATTAAATAAACTGAGCTGCCATGAGTCTCAAGGATTTGTATGATTGTTCATAAAGAGGCAGTTTCCGACAAAAAGTATGAAAAGAATGTACAAAAAAAAATAGAAACGAGAAAACAAACAATTGCAAAACAAAAAGTTTACGACGAACAAATAAACTGACAAAGATTTCGTACTTGTGCAAATTCCTGATTTCCAGTTTTCCGCCGTCTCCTCCGGTGACAACAAATTCGCCAGAAATGAAAACACGAGCGACATCGTCTTTTAATTTAGCGTCTTCTGTCAGAAGTTTTCCATTGATGGAATATCTACACAGAGATCGACTGCTTTCGTGTTTGCAACATACCACAATGTTCCCATATTCGGAGAGGGCGAGGCCAGTCACGTGGCAGGGGTTGGGTTGTGCGCCGGGCGACATTCCCATGGGCCTTAGCGTGACAACGTATTCGCCTTTTCGCGCTGTGTGGATGATGCATGTGCCATCCTGAACAGTGAACAGGCAGAAAAAAAATAAGTACCAGAGCAACGGATTTCTGATGGAGGAGAGGAGGGGGGGGGGATATTTGAGATTGTCAGCGTTATGGGAATTCGGAAAGGAAAGGGTCGAAAAAGGGAGGGGGAGGCGGAAAGAGAGCGGGGTATGAATTAGAAAAGAAGAAACACAGGAAGCTACGGTGTCCGGGTCAGTACGAGGACCAAGGAGAATTATCACGTGAGGGTGGGCGGGTTCAAGAAAGTCAGCGTGAGGAGAATTTGAGAATAGGCCAATTCCGAATTACGTTTGGCCTCTTTTTCAAAACGAGGCCAAGTGCTCAACCATACCTAAGAAAATGAGTTTAATTTGCATGTGAATGAAAACTTGTTACCATACGAACGGATGAGCACCAAGACTCGCTTTGAAAAAGAGGCTATAGGCAATTCGGAAATGGGCTATTGGTGCGCATCAAACGCGGACATAAATATAATGGTTTCCGTGTTAAGGGTGGAGGAGAAAAGCGGAGTGTATGGAATGTCGGTGAAAGGGGGAAAGGGGGGTCGAAAGTTACGGAGGGGGGGGGAAACATTTGAGATAAGAAACAAACGAGTAAGAAATAAGATTAAGACTTTTGGGGTGTTTCCTATGAAGAAGTAACCAAAAGTCAATCCCGTTTAGGATTCATATGAAGAAATATAAAGTCATCTAGCGTTATGAATTTAGTGTTAAGTATCTTTAAAATATTTTGGAGGTATTGTAACTATTACCTGAGAACCACTGACTGCCATGTCAAGTTCCCAACTCATAGCAACACATGTGACTGGCATATCATGACCATATAAAGTCTGTAGTGGGGTACGAATTAGTTCCTGAGCCACCCCTCCCTGATGAGTGATTCCCCATAAGCGGCAGGTGGTATCACGTGACCCAGTGATCAGGTGATGACCATCGTCATCCAATGAGACACAAGTAATTACATCTATAAATAGCGGCAATATAAACAAAACTGTTACAAATTGAAAAAATTAATTGGTAGTCTAATTGTTAATGTGTATTACGGAATGAAAAGCTTCAGTTGAAGCCCTTGCTTCAACTGCAAAAAAAACGGTGGGTTGGTAAGCTTCAATTCAATGTCCATCTTTTCTTAGCTGCTGTTTCAGCTATAATTTAATGTCTCCTTCTCTGAACATTGAATCATGCAAATCAACATTTAGCAAAAACATTCCACGTTGCCATGCCTCTGTTCATTTTAATAAGATAACCAAAGTAAACCGCGCGCTCTGATTGGTCAATTCAGCGTCCACCAATCTTAGTGAATAGGTGTACGCTGCTGACGTGAGCAAATGCTTAGACTAGTTTTCCGCGCGCGCTTTTTTTTTTCTAGTCATGTAAGATTTTTAAATAAAAGACAACTCTTTAGCTGCAATGTATCAATGTTATGTTATAAAACAAATGTTAAACGCCACAGTGTACACTATTGAGTTATGGATGTACTTGGGAGGTTTGCTAAGCATTTAAGAAGCTAGAGTCGCTCTCGGCTATCGCCTCGCGCGACTCTTATGCTTCTTTCGTGCTTAGCAACCACCCGCGTGCATCCATCTCAATAGTGTACGCTGTGGTGTTTACCATTTGTTAAATAGACCACAGATTACGCCAAAATGTGGTAAGAATAAAATACAATGGTACACGTGGTGCAGCCGAGTGTATCAATGCTGTTCATACCACATTTTGACAACTTTTGTAATCTATTTCTGTAAAGACCCACGGTGATATGGAACCCATTTTTCAGATAATAAAGATGCATAAATTGTTGATGGTGACGTTATCTATGTGCCTGTCCTCTAATAGATCATGAGTAAGATCCAATCAAAATGCGTGGGTAATGTAGCTTATGGTATAATGAAAGATAGGATTAACTTCACTGTGTTGCGTTCTTGAGCGAGACACTTTTAACTTATATTACTTCCTTTAACCCAGTAGTAGAAAGAAATAAAATCGAATTGTTATAGAAGAGAAAGCATAAGTTTAATACGCGCAGTTTATCGAATTGTACTATATCTCTTTTCTTAAACCTCAACTACTTCCAAAAACTCAACAAAGACAAGTCCCTCTTTTATTAACTGTGAAGGCAAAACGTACCTGCATGTCCCACAATTCTTGTCAGCTGTCTCCCCCTTGTGGCAAAAACTCGCAGACTGTTGTCCCAGTGTCCAGCGGTAATGATCAACTTAGCATCATGGGTAATAGCAAACAGATGTGAAGAGACCTGCATGTCAGGACTGAACGGGCCCGCGATACAACGGCGTAATCTACAACGGAAGTAGAGAACAGAAGAACTTAACAAGACTCGTGCTTTAAGATATGCTACAAAAGAAATCATAAGGTTGGTAATGAAACCTTTTTCCTACACGCGCCGACGTCTTTACATTTGTTACTCATACAAAGGAGACTTAAAATAACTCAACTTGAACACAGCAGATTCTTAGGGTGGTTTCGTTTCCAGTCATAATTGATCGCCTAGGAAGGGGGTCCGAGGATTCTGCTTGTGTCACGATAAAACTTACTCCATAAGGCGCTGTAGTATTCTTATCATAACCCCTCCCTTATTGGCAGTTATTTGGCAATCAATTTTCTATATTCCCTCCTTCATACTCTGTGGGTGACGACCGATCCTCCATCGTCCCCCTTGAAAACTATGTAATTTCCCCCCAAAATTCCCCCTTTCTTCCTTAGCGATATATAGTGACTGATTCCTAACACGTGGTGGGGAGAATCAGGCCCGAGGACGAATTCCACAACTTGCCTGTTTGACGACAGAGACGGGTCAGGTTCAAAGGTGAAAGGTTTGCCCCTGCCCTTGGAGTAAGGCAGCCAGTCGTGCAATCCCACAATGCCATTCTGGCTGATGGTGATCATGTGTTCAGGCATGCCCGAGTGAATCAGGGATCTGGTGTGAACGTGAGACACGGCGGAGAACACCAAAGGGTCAGTCGCATCAGATACCTAGATCAATAACGCGTTAAAAATGAGCTTATTTCAAGTGGAAATTTCGTTATGTATTATATGAAGAAGCTGGATTCAAAAACTATTTCACAGAAAGAGAGCAACCTTAAAAAGATGATCGGCGATTTTGCGTTTCGGGGAGAGTGAGTTGTCTTGGTCTGATAACGCCAAGTATAGACACCTAGTCAACATTTAACATACGTTTTCCTTCAGCCCTTTACATTCTAACATCACAATGCATATTTCCTATACTGTTTTCTGTAAATTTCCGATGGTGCTGACAAGGAGAAAGTAATAATCAAAGTTTAATGTCTTTACGTGGGGCATGTTTACTCATTTTGCCCGAGCCAGAGGCTCATGTATGAAACGCAAGACAACAACCCACCCATTCCACCCCAGGGGAGGACATCGATCACACAGTAATCTCGTGCGTGGGACACACAGTAATCTCGTGCGTACGTCTCCTACCCTAACCCTGCAGGAGACGGGACCTCCATTAATTCGTCCCTATCCGAGAAGACTAGAATATCTAAACCATTTCTTGATGTTATAGAAAGGCAGCATATTCCTCTCAATTATTTTAAGACCTTGAGTGTTGGTCCAGCCGGGACTCGAACCCTCGACCTCCCGCACAACAGTCCAGCGCTCTATCCATTGAGCTAATCGGGAGGCGGTTAAATAATTCGTTTAATAATCAAGAATTCGTTTAATAACCAAGAACTTCTATGATCCTATAATCTCGTGTACTTAATTTTTGAATCAGTGGTGATATTGTAAGGGGAAATTAAATAGTAGTCACCTGAAGGGGTTAAAAGGTTACCTTCGCGTGTTTCTTTTGACATTTTCTCTGCCATTCAAAGCTTTACTGCATGTTTCAAAATCAGGTTATTGAGTTTATGCCTCATTTTGAGCTCAACTTACGGTAACAAAGTAGGCCTTTAATTTGTCGAAGTTCTCAAACACATTCTCGAGTGTCTTGCTCGTGCCAGCGCTTTTTGTTGTATTCAACTTGGTGGCTTCTTCAGCTGTCATGCGCGGTGGATGCGGCTGCGTCAGTAGCTGTATTGGAGTTTGACCAAAGTTGTTTATCATACCCTCGGTAGCTGTTCGCTCGGCTGGGTCTGTTATGGCATCAAGATCAACAGCGCCTACGACCGAAGAACATGTGGATTTTACCTCTAACAGTATTATAACTGGCCCAGTACATATATGTTTTCTCTTGCCCCATTAGTCGCGAAGGAATTGTCAGTCGTATCTGTTGGTAACGTCACGGCTCATACCGGGGTCCAGGTTTGACCGAGCAGAGAGAACCAAAGGACTGAGTTGTCATGTTTCTTTTTATTACAGTGATCGGCCCAATAACTGCCATAGTGTTAGACAGTGATACCATTACATTTTGCTCAAAGATGGGTTGATTGAGCTTATAATTAAGAATTGTGAAATTCATTGGGACTGTTGCGTTCTTAAGTCAATCCTACCAGAAACTTACTGGAGAACTTAGAAGCACTTTTAAAAATATGCCCAAGCAATAAAACGATTGGAACAATAAATAATAATAATAGTAATCTTAGTGATAATAATAATAATAAACACAAATAACAGCTGCCCCAGTTTAGATACCCTGAACTTTTTCAAATATATTTTCAGTTTAAGATAAAAAGTTCACTGTCTTCTGGAACGTTTCGGTTGGGCTAAAAATTTGTTTGACAACAAATCACAGACAAACCCTTCACTTCGTTTGGATCTCCATAATCCCCACCAGACTCTTTTCTACTGTTTCTCTTCTTTGTAGCTCTGTAGGAGAAAAGGAGAGGCCCTGTAGCGCCCAGTCCCTTGACGCTCTCTTACCTTCATAAGTACAATAGTAAAACACATTCAGCGCCTCCTCCGCTGCAGGACCCTTCTGTTTATAACCGAATATTAAGTCAATCCACTCGTGCAGGTGAGATGACACGTGATCGGATTCTAACGCTTGTCTGTGTTTGAAGACGAAATCTTCAGGTGAGGTTGCCCAGCGTGGAAGAATGACATCATCAACAACCCCTCCTCGCTGAAGACGTCCGAGATCGAACCTGAGATAAGAAAATTCGCCGAACAGTTGGTTTGGTTCCTTTATTTCCAACGATCAATTCCTTAAGTCGCCTCTCTAACAGAGACGTATGTTCTTGGAAATTAGTACAGGGAATTTGGCGTCTCATCAAATATCGGAATTTATTATCCAACTACGCTTCGTAGAGTACAAATAACGCCATAGACGAGTACAAATATCACGCGGTATTTGTACTGCAGAGTTCCGGTTAAACAGGTTTTCTCGCATCGCGTAAGCGAAGAATTGGATTGTAGTTACGAAAAAAAATGGCGGACAATTTGAATCGTATTTCCGACGACGAAGAGTCAGAATGCCTGGCAAATATAGATCCAAGGTTATTAGAAGAATCGAACGAAGAAAAACAGCTAGACGACCWGGAAATTTCTTTATTTATTGAAGAAAATAGAAACAGCAACACGACAAAGCGCCAATTCCGTTCCGCTTCGCATACTTCTGTCACGCACTCCCCGTAAATAAATATCCGCGAAATTCGCCCGCACTGAACTAACAGTTTAGCATATTGGATAATAAATAACTTATTAGACGTTCTGTTGTGTAGTATCACTGAGTATTTTTACTCGTTATTTGTATTTTGACTCGCCCTACGGGCTCGTCAAAATACGGCACAACTCGTAAAAATACTCAGCGATACTACACAACAAAACGTCTAATAAGATATATGCACTCCAAAGAACGTAAGTAAGGGGATCCTTAGATACATTTGATCCCCGGTTTTTGCTGGGAAAAAGTGATAATTTATAACTGGAAAATGACCTAGGATGCCCCCAGATGTCCGTAAGAGGCTAGCACTGGACTTCTATCTCACCCCCAGCAATGTGAAAAGAAAGTGACAAATTATAATAGCAAAACAACCTGGGATACCCCCTGATAGGCTAGTGTTGGACCCCTTCCCTCCTCCCCCGTTAGCGTAGTCAAAAAACAGTGACGATATATAATAAAAACAGCATACTGGGATGCCCCCAAATTCCAGTAAGAGGTTAGTGTTTGACCCTTCCTCGCCACTTATTCTTTTTTTTTTTCAAGGAAAAGTGACAATTTATCATGTCGAAAAACGTGGCATGCCCCCAAATTACAAAAAGACGCTCGCGTCCGACGCCCCCTCCTCTCACCCGGGAAATTCTACGGCCCCTCCCTGAATTTGCATACCCCCCTCTGCATTTACCAAATCCTACCCTTGAGAGGAGGGAGGCGTCAGAGAGTTACAACAAATTGACCGTAGAATTTGAACGTGCCTACTTGATACACAATAAAAACCACCTAGCCTTTTAGTCTCTAACCTGTTGGAATTGACCAAGAATTCCGGAAAGTAGAAAAACTCAGGAATAAGCTCTTTTACATCCCCGCCTTGGCTGTAGATAGACTTCCAGGTGGATGGTATGTTGTGAAACTGTCTGTCCGCGCAGTCGAACTTTCCACTCTGCAGTTTAATGTGCAGAGTGGTGAAGGGTTCAACACGCAACATGTAATGAAGAACTCCAGCGGAGCTCGAATAATGCGAACCGTAGTGAAATTTGGCGATTAATCCAGAAGGATCGACGAACATGTTGTATCTACATTTACCATAAAAATATGAAAAACTTACGATCAGTGAAACGACGTAGGGAGTGAGATTTTCTCTACCTACTTTTAAAGGTCAAGCCTTACAACCTTAAGAGCGAATGTTACCAACGGTCAAACATTTGGTGTCAACAGCCAAAAAATCGATTCGGCTCATATTTTCAAGTTGGGTAGGCGTTATAGTGAAACAAAGCACTGCATACTTCCTTTGGCTGAATATCGATTTATTTTGGAGAAAATCGATAACAACTGAATTTCGCCAAAATGCCGCTTTGGAAGCTCAAAAATTCAGACGAATCTTGGAGTGTCGCGCCACGAATTGACAACACTTGGACCAATAAAAAGTACCAAATCTTGAAAAACAACATCAGTACATATGTTTGATGCACGATCCTCGCAGTAGAGAGCGCTATTTGTGCAATAGCGAAAATCAGACCTGAAAAATATCAGGCCTGTACGGGATTCGAACCACTGACCTCTGCGATACTAGTGCAGCGCTCTACCAATTGCATAAATAGCGCTCTCTACTGTGAGGATCCTTCATCATACATATTTAATACTGCAGTTCAAAATATATGAACTTCACATATACATTGTATCAGTACATATGTTGACAGCAATTTGAGCAATTCTTGATTGTCTATTTACACAATCTAATTGAATTTATCCGACCTTCATCTTACAAGATGAAAAATAGGTCAAAAGTAACCCGTTATTTAACTCTGTGGTAAATAACATAATCGACTGAAAATCTGGCTTTTGGAAGGCGAAGTGTGTTTCTTTTCGATCTCCAAAGGATTTTTTGGGGTAGTGATTCTGTGCGATTTAATCAAATTTTAAAGTTGGATAAAATGAGCTGATTTGACGGTGCCGTCAGTTATTCGAAAATGTACACATTCAAACGCAAACTCAATTGTTTCGCATTTTACATCCAGTCTACAGTTTATTTAACATAATATCATCTTACTGTCCATATTGAAATATCACAAAAGAGGATTGCAGTCCTAAAATTGTTGCATTGCTCCCTCAATAGAGATATAACAACTTGGCAGGATAGTCAACACCTCCTGATAATGATTGTTTACAAAGCGTATCACGGGGTTTCTCTATTTCCATTTCGTTGAAATACTTCTGTTCTGTTCAGAC